CGCGCTGCTGGAGCTCGGAGTCGTGCTGGTCCTTTGTCTACTGGAGGTGCTGGAGTTGCTGGTTCTGGAGGGGCTCGTGCTGGAGACACTGAGGCTGGAGACCCTGGGACTGGAGGTGCTGGCTCTGGGGGTGCTGCTGCTGGAGACACTGAGGTTGGAGACCCTGGAGCTGGAGGTGCTGGTTCTGGGGGTGCTACTGCTGGAGACCCTGCGGTTGGAGACCCTGGGACTGGAGGTGCTGGTTCTGGGGGTGCTGCTGCTGGAGACACAGAGGTTGGAGACCCTGGGACTCGAGGTGTCGGCTCTGGGCCTGGAGCTTCTGGAGCTGCTGGAGGTACTGGAGCTGCTGGAGCTACTGGAGCTGCTGGAGGCACTGGAGCTGCTGGAGCTGCTGGTTCTGGTGCAGCTGCGCCGACACGACTGTTCTTCGCTCCGCCGTCTCCGTCGTCTCTGCCGCCGTCTGCCTCTGTTCTTCGTCAGGTTCTTACTCTTCCGTCGTCTACTGGTCTTCCGTTACAGACTGGCTCGCCGCTGCCTGCTCCTTCTCCTTACGCTGAGCTGACTGGTAGTCCTGCTGTGCGTCGTGAGCCTGCGTCGCGTCCTGTCTCGCCTGCTCGTCCTGGTCGTACCGGTCCTCGTGTTCCTCGTTCGCGTCCGCCGGCTGTCCCCAGCGCACACCTCGTAGTCCGTCGTCCTTCCTCTGTTCCGCAGCCTGTTCCTCTGCCGTCTCCTCCTGCGTCCTCTTTGCCTGACGTTCCGGACCCTGCGTCTGACCGGTTTCGTGCTCAGCACCCTACTGTCACGCGTCTACTAGCCACAGTTGTCACTGACCCGTCGTTCGAGTCTGCTGCTGCGTCTGCTCTTGTCGCTGAGCTTGTTGACTTTGCTGCTGCCTGTCGTCTAGACTTCACTGCCAGTCTTGTTACTGAGTCTGAGTCTGTCTGTCCTCCGTCCGTCGGGGGTGAGTGTGCTCTTAGCACGGACGTCCTTGAGGACAGGCAGGAGGAGTTCCAGTGCCTTGCTGCTGCTTTACCTCATCTTGTGTCCTCGCTACTTGCCCCTGAGGGAGACCCGGATGCACCAGACATCCCGACTCCGCGCTCTTACGCAGAGGCGATAGAGGGTCCCTACTCCTCTCAGTGGCAGGCAGCCATGGACGCAGAGATGGCTTCCTGGAAGTCCACAGGCACCTACGTTGACGAGGTTCCCCCACCTGGGGCGAACATCGTCAGTGGCATGTGGATTTTCAGGGTGAAGCGGCCACCGGGTTCTCCGCCTGTCTTCAAGGCGCGTTACGTGGCTCGAGGCTTCAGTCAGCGAGAGGGAGTTGACTTCTTCCAGACCTTCTCCCCCACCCCGAAGATGACCACTCTTCGGGTGCTGCTGCACGTTGCTGCTCACCGTGACTACGAGCTTCACTCTCTTGACTTCAGCACAGCTTTCCTGCAGGGCAGCCTGCACGAGGAGATCTGGCTGCGCCGCCCCCCGGGCTTCACTGGGTCGTTCCCTCCTGGTACCCAGTGGAGCCTCCAGCGGCCGGTCTACGGTCTCCGCCAGGCGCCACGTGAGTGGCACGACACACTGAGGACTACGCTTGCAGCTCTTGGGTTTGCGCCTTCTACTGCTGACCCGTCGCTGTTTCTGCGCACCAACACTTCGCTGCCGCCGTTCTACATCCTCGTGTATGTCGACGACTTGGTTTTTGCCACTGCTGACACTGAGGCTCTCACCCACGTGAAGTCGGAGCTGCAGAAGAGACACACGTGCACAGACTTGGGTGAGCTGCGCAGCTACCTTGGCTTGCAGATCACCCGAGACAGAGCACGTCGCACCATCACCTTGACTCAGTCACACATGGTGCAGCAGGTTCTTCAGCGCTTCGGCTTCACCTGGTCTTCAGCACAGGCCACTCCTCTGGCTACAGGTCACACGCTCTCAGCTCCACCTTCGGACGAGTCCGTAGAGCCGAGTGGTCCTTACCCAGAGCTAGTCGGCTGCCTCATGTACCTGATGACTTGCACTCGACCTGACCTCGCGTACCCTCTTGGTCTCCTGGCTCGCTACGTGGCTCCTGGTCGGCACCGACCTGAGCACATGGCTGCTGCTAAGAGGGTACTGCGTTACTTGTGCAGCACATCAGGCATGGGGCTAGTGCTTGGAGGGACGAGCCCAGTTGTCCTCATTGGGCACTCAGACGCTTCTTGGGTTGACGACCTGGCTACTCAGCGGTCGTCACAGGGTTACACCTTCAGCCTTGGCTCTGGTTCAGTTTCGTGGCGTTCTACACGCTCGACTTCAGTTCTCGGCTCCAGTTGTGAGGCTGAGATCTACGCCACCGCCATGGCTGCACAGGAGTTACGCTGGCTCACCTACCTGCTGACTGACTTGGGAGAGCAGCCTCGTTCTCCTCCAGTGCTGTACGTTGACAACAAGGCCGCCATTGCCTTGTGTGAGGAGCACAGACTGGAGCACAGAACGAAGCACATTGCTCTGCGGTACTTCCTGGCTCGAGAGTTGCAGCAGCGAGGCCAGCTTCGTCTTCGCCACGTGGCCACTCGGGCCAACACTGCTGACATATTCACCAAGGCACTTCCGTCTGGTGATCATCAGCGCTTTTGTACTCTGTTAGGCCTTGTGCCTACGTTTCCACACTTGCTGTAGTCTCTGCTTGTACTGTGATCTGTACATATATATATATGCATGCTGGCTCTTGCTAGGTAGCCATCACTGTACTGTTATTGCTGCATATATATCTCTGCATGTGAACTGGCCCAGTGGCCCTTTGCTTGTGCTCAGAATGCGTGGTGACGTTGTGATCCACCCTGAGCTTGTTTTGCTTCTCTTGACTGGTCGTGTGACCCCTTGTTCTCCCCCACTTTGCCTATGGGGGTGTGTCAAACTATATGTGCTGCATATTGTCTAGGCTGTAGTGGGGTAGCCCACATGGGGTACAACCTAGTAGGGTTTACTACTTGTACTCCTGCATCCTGTTAGTTCATCCATTCCTGCTGCTAGATTCTAACATGAGCTGCACTGACGGGCTTGGGTTCGGTTTGGGGAAGTTTGTGAGCGTTGTTGGTGTACGAGGCAGGAAAAGTCGCTGGAGCCCTGGTCGGTTGGTGCTGTATTGCGTTTGTCAAATTAGCGTGTTTTGCAGCAGCAGCAGCAGCAGCAGCAGGCTATGGCTTCAAGTTCCAAGCAAGAGGGGGGGAAAGGAAGCGCGCCGTGACACAACTGGCGGAAGCAACTGGAGCGTTACCGCATCGGGGAGATAGAAGGAGGGACGGACAGCGGGAAGGAGCGAGGAAGTCTACCCTCACCACTTGCGTGTGCGATAGGGATGGCGTCAAAACACGCCCGTCCGCGATTACATACTAATATATCTCAAACAGATGTCCTATGAGCCAAACAGACCAATTTCGCACAGCTCGTTAGCTCAACGCAGAGTGCCAATAGGTTGTGTTGTTTATCCATCATTAACCATACAGAAGCTACTCCTCTGTTCTCGCACGTCTAAATTTGGGACTAGCTCGACATGGCGTCTCGTCTTTTCGTGCTCGCAATGCTTCTGCTCCTCGCAGCGGTTTTGTCTCCAGCCGTCACTCGTACAGTCGCTCAAATCGTTACCGTCGGTCCAAACGGTTCGGTGAACGGTGACGGTTATTCAACCGACGCGGAGGATGGAAGCGTGACGGTAAATGGCACAACCTTCTTTCCGAATGGCACAATTCTAAATGGTGACGGTCAGACGATCACCCCGACGACAAACGCGGACGGATCTGTATCTGCTGGCGGTTTTACCGTCTATCCGAACGGGATCGTCACATCTGACGGAACAAGCGTCAATGCAGGCGGTGGGATCACGCTCCCCGGCGGGCTCAACATCAGTACTGGCGGCACCGGGGGGATGCAGACGCCGGGATTCACGGTGAATCCTGACGGAACAGTGACCGTTAAACAGGCCGCTCCGCCCGCACCCAACAATTTTTCTTTCTTTCCTTCTTTTACCCGGAGAAAACAATGCTCACGAAAGGGATGTAGGTTTAACCAACATTGCTGGATGTCCTAAATATACAAGATCATTTTCTCCCGCTGTTTTCCCGTAACAGGATCGCTCGTATCTCCTGCGGGCGTATCGACTGGCCTCTTCACCACACTGCTGGCCACTCTCCTCTTCTACGCATAATCTACTGATTGTTGGTAGGGATGGGAAAAGAGTATGGAATTGAAGCCGCGAGGCATAAAAGCTTGGAGCTTGGTGTCAGAGGTCCACTGGTGATCCCCGATTGATCCTAGGGAAGGGTTACAGGCATGGCGGCCTGGGGGGTTATGGGCGCACTCACCCGCTACACAAACAAGCCCTTTTATCCCAGTGGTTAGTGACTGGGATTCTGACACTTGGTGGTAATTGTACTTGTTAATGAGTGAGAAGATTGGTGAAACACGTGGTTTATAATATCTGAGAGTTCTTGATCTGATGACCTTCATAAATGAATTCAGGTGGTTCAGGTGGTTCTCTAACAATCTGAATTGAAGTGATCAGTCAAGCACAAAGAATGTTTCACAAATAAGGGATGCATTTCATCTTGGAGAAAGAAATGCTGGCTTTGGTGTGAAGGTGCGTCAAGCACCATACGATGCAAATTCGCATAACACATTCGGTTATAAGTAAACAAAACGACCACAAAGCATTCTCTATTGTGTCACAAACTAGGGGGCCCATCTGCTTTAGCCTTAGAAGCATGTGATCGCAGCCCAAAATAGTAGATTAGCCACATTCAGGTGGAAGCATGGTTGTGTAATGTTCCCCTTATCCAACTTTTTCCTACCTTATCGTACAGCAATCATGTCTGGCTGGAAGCAGCCAGATGAGCCTCGAGTCGGGAATGGTGCCTTCGGCACAAAAGAAGGCGCAGACAGGCTGGTGCTTGAGTGTGTAAATCCTGTCCACCCTATCCGACTTTATCGGCTTTATCCTACAACATTCACGGAGGGCTGATCTATTTTAGCCTCCGCAGCATGTCTGCTCGCATCCAGATGAGCCCCGAGTCGGGACGGGAATGATGGCTTTGGCACAGAAAAGGGCGCACACACTTGCTAGTTGTGATGGTGTTTGGGGGTGTGTGTGTGTAAAACCTGTTACCAACTATACTACCGGTATACAGCAATCGCGGAGGGCCGATCTTCTTTAGTCCTCTCAGCACGCCTGCTCGCAGCCAAATGAGCCCCGAGTCGGGAATCGTGGCTTTCGCACAGGAGAACGCGCTATCGGGTTGGTGCTTGGGTGCGTCGGGGTCGGCGCAGTGGACCAGAGCAGGGTTGGTGGCATTGGGAGGGGGCTGGAGAAGTGGTCTGCAATAACAAGGATAAACACCAGTGGTGGAGTGGAAGAGAGGAGGGGAGACAGAGGCATGAGGAATGCACAGTCCGGTTGGTGCTTGGGCGCGTCGGGGTCGGCGCAGTGGACCAGAGCAGGGTTGGTGGCATTGGGAGGGGGCTGTAGGAGGGGTCTGCGGGAACAAGGAAGCAAAGCAGGGGAGCAGGGGGAGGGGGTATCAGAGAGACGGAGACGTGAAGAACACGCAATCAGGTTGGTGCTTGGGCGCGTCGGGGTCGGCACAATGCACCAGAGCAGGGTTGGTGGCGTTGGCGGGGGCTGAAGAAGGGGCCTGGGATAACAGGCAGGAGGAGCAAGGGTAGGGGCAAGAAGAGGGGGAGGGGAGACAGGGGCATGAGAGATGCACAGTCCGGCTGGTGCTTGGGGGCGTCGGGTCGGCACAGAGCACCAGAGCAGGGTTGGTGGCGTTGGGCGGGGCCCGGGCGATGGAGAAGTGGTCTGCGGTAACAAGGAAAAAGCAGCAGTGGTGGGCGGGATGCGGGGGCAGGGAGAAAGAGAGGGGGCAGGGAGACAGAGAGGGGAAGAAAAGGCCAGTCCAGCTGGTGCTTGGATGCGTCGGGGTGGGCACAGTGCAGCAGAGCAGGGTTGTTGGCATTAGGAGGAAGATGTAGGAGGGGTCTGTGGCAAAAAGGGAATATATATATATATATATATATATATATATATATATATATATATATTGGAGCGGGGGGAGGGGGTCAGCAGAGAGGGAAGCATGTAGCACAGTCGCTCTGGTGCTTCGGTGAATCGGGGTCCGCGCATTGCAGCAGAGCAGAGCAGGGTTGGTGGCATTTGGAAAGGGCCGTAATAAGGGCCTGTGGTGAAAGCAGGGATGAGCAAGGGGAGGGCAAGAACGGGGAAGGAAGACAGAGGCATGAGGAATGCACCGTCCGTTTGGTGCTTGGTTGCACATGGATCGATGCAGCAGAGCACAGTGCAGCAGAGCACAGTGCAGCAGAGCACAGTGCAGCAGAGCACAGTGCAGCAGAGCAAACAGTGCAGCAGAGCACAGTGCAGCAGAGCACAGTGCAGCAGAGCAAACAGTGCAGCAGAGCACAGTGCAGCAGAGCACAGTGCAGCAGAGCACAGCGCAGCGGAGCACAGTGCAGCAGAGCACAGTGCAGCAGAGCAGAGCACGTGAAAAAAAAAAAAAAAAAAAAAACACTTAGTTCATGTGGCTTGTGCATGACGTCATGGTGCTTGACCAACAGGAGCGCACAGTACAGGCGCGTGCCGCTCCACGTGCCGGCATACAGACCACACTCACGTGAACATGCTTGCAGGGAACACACACCATCACCACGCCACTCACTGCTTGGTGCAGATCTCGTTGGCTGTTGGTTCGGTGATGGCCGAGGGGTCCTGCAACACGTCATGGTACTTGACCAAGAGAAGAGCCCAGTACAGCCGCCTGCCACTCCACGTGCAGGCATACTGCGCCATGTGGTTCGCTGCATGCACCAGCCGCTGCGACACATCATAATTTTCTTGAGCCCAGCGTATTTTAGTAGGGAGAATGGAGAATCTGAGGGTTGCGGGGGAATAGAGAGGGGTGGAGTAAAGTTACTGTGCTAGTAAAGTTACTGTGCTAGTAAAGTTACTGTACTAGTAAAGTTACAGTGCTAGTAAAGTTACTGTACTAGTAAAGTTACTGTACGAGTCAAGTTACTGTACTAGTAAATTTACTAGCGAACCAGTACATGCCATCATCAAGCAGTGGCTTGTAGTGAAGTTACCAGCCTACTACAGTTACCAGTGTTACCACATGGGAAGGTAAACCTCCTAACAGGCATGGTTACTCACATGCGTGTGGTAATCATACACGAAGTGTTTTGCTTTGCTTCACCTTTTAGAGAAAGTGTACCTCATCCCCCAGCAGGGGATTGTAGAGCTGGAAGTGGCGTGTCTGTGCAGTAACAGGGTTACCAGAAGGGACCGCTGTTACTCGCGTACAGGTGGTAACCAGCCAGTGCACCCCATCCTCCAGCAGTGGCTCGTAGAACAGGAAGAGGGGTGTCTGTGTGGTAATGGATTATGGGGTTACCAGAAGGGACCGTGGTTACTCACGTGCATGTGGTAACCAGCCAGTGCACCCCGTCCTCCAGCAGAGGCTCATAGAACTGGAAGAGGGGCGTCTCCTGGCGAATGCTCAGCTGATTCGATCTCAACACTCCGCATGTTCTGCAGCTGCCCCCTCCACCGTCTACGATCACCTGAGAGTAAGGAGGGGAGGAAGGAGCGTGTTTAAAGATGGGGGTATGGGAAAGAAGAGAGCACGAGAGACGAGATGCGACATTGGCGGATGCTACTTTTGACAGAATTCACGTCTGACAACCAGTGTGGTGTGTGCAGCCTAAGTGCCAATCTCCCCTCTCTCTCCCCCTCTCACTCTCCCCCCCTCTCTCCCCTCCACTCTCTCTCCCCATTGCTCGCTACCTCGTACTTGAAGGCATTGAACTGAGTGAAGATCATCCTTTTCGCCAGCAACAACCCATCCTCTGCCATCACCTTGATCACCCCTTAGCAGTCAGAGGCTCCCTGCACGCACTAAGGTATTGCACAACTCACTCTCCTCTCTCCCACTACCCACCTGGTACTTGAAGGCATTGAACTGAGTGAAGATCATCCTTTTCGCCAGCAACAATCCATCCTCCGCCATGGCCTTGATCACTGCGGGCTTGGCGTGGCTCCGCGCGTTGATGTGAGCCTCCATCAGCGCAGAGTGCACGTCGGACAGCCGGTGCAGCCGCACGCACGGGTTGGCGCCCCAGTTGCCGTCCAGCATGTCAAAGTTGGTGGTTTTCCCGCGGAACACTGCCTGCGCTTCCTTCCTCTCCCACGGGACCTGGTAATGTAAGGGTATGTGCAGAATAGGGGGGGAATGAAGTTAGTGCCCCGGTTGCCGTCCAGCATGTCAAAGTTGGTCGTCTTTCCCCGGAACACTGCGTGAGCCTCCTTACGTTCCCAGGGAACCTGAGGGGATTGAATCATTGAAGGGTATATGGAGAAGAAGGGGGCAGGAGTTGGCGCCCCGGTTGCCGTCCAGCATGTCAAACCTGAGATTGGATGGTGAATGGCTCACATACCACACCGGCGTGCTCAGATCCCTCTGTCAAATCAAGTGGATCAGGGATGGGTATGTCCATGGTATCGACTGTGTAGCCCATGCTCATCACTGGTTAACCAGCAGGAGGGGTTTCCCTGAGAGTTTTTCAACTCTCACCTGAGTAGTCAGGTCTGGTGTGTAGTCCTCAGTCAAGTCAAGCGGGTCGGGGATGGGTATGTCCATGTGTAATCTGCTGTGCGAACAGACCACTGGCTTACATACCACACACACTTGTGTGCCTCCCTCTCCCTCAACACCCCTCGGTCATCCAGTGGATCAGGGATGGGTACGTCCGTGGTGCTCATTACAGGGTAACCAGCATGGAGGGGGGAAGGTTTGTTGGTAGGGTGGACTGGGTGTCTCAACTCTCACCTGCGTGCTGAGATCAGGCGTGTAGTCCTTTGTCAAATCGAGTGGGTCAGGGATGGGTATGTCCATGGTGTCGACCGTGAAGCCCATGCTCATCACCGGGTAACCAGCATGGAGGGGGGAAGGTTGGTTGGTAGGGTGGACTGGGTGTCTCAACTCTCAGGCGTGTAGTCTTCTGTCAAATCGAGTGGATCAGGGATGGGTATGTCCATGGTGTCGACCGTGAAGCCCATGCTCATCACTGGGTAACCAGCGCGGTCGGACCAGTGGCTTCCATACCACACGCACCTGAGTCCTGGCTGTTGTCACAACACAACGTACCTGCGTGCTGAGATCGGGCGTGTAGTCTTCAGTCAGGTCAAGAGGGTCAGGGATGGGTATGTCCATGGTATCGACCGTGAAGCCCATGCTCATCACCGGGTAACCAGCGCGGTCGGACCAGTGGCTTCCATACCACACGCACCTGAGTCCTGGCTGTTGTCACAACACAACGTACCTGCGTGCTGAGATCGGGCGTGTAGTCTTCAGTCAGGTCAAGAGGGTCAGGGATGGGTATGTCCATGGTATCGACCGTGAAGCCCATGCTCATCACCGGGTAACCAGCGCGGTCGGACCAGTGGCTTCCATACCACACGCACCTGAGTCCTGGCTGTTGTCACAACACAACGTACCTGCGTGCTGAGATCGGGCGTGTAGTCTTCAGTCAGGTCAAGAGGGTCAGGGATGGGTATGTCCATGGTATCGACCGTGAAGCCCATGCTCATCACCGGGTAACCAGCGCGGTCGGACCAGTGGCTTCCATACCACACGCACCTGAGTCCTGGCTGTTGTCACAACACAACGTACCTGCGTGCTGAGATCGGGCGTGTAGTCTTCAGTCAGGTCAAGAGGGTCAGGGATGGGTATGTCCATGGTATCGACCGTGAAGCCCATGCTCATCACCGGGTAACCAGCGCGGTCGGACCAGTGGCTTCCATACCACACGCACCTGAGTCCTGGCTGTTGTCACAACACAACGTACCTGCGTGCTGAGATCGGGCGTGTAGTCTTCAGTCAGGTCAAGAGGGTCAGGGATGGGTATGTCCATGGTGTCGACCGTAAAGCCCATGCTCATCAGCGGCTGGCTGCTGTAGAATGACTGGGTGTGGTCGCACGTGTTCACTATCAACTCGAGTCGAAGGTCTGTCAAGCCATACACGTCTGTAGCGTCCTGCAAAAGACGAGGAAAGCCGGAGAACGGGAGAAAGGAGTGTACCCAGAACGGTCAGACCAGTGGCTGCTGTAGAAGGACTGCGGGTGGTCGCACGTGGCTGCTGTAGAAGGACTGCGGGTGGTCGCACGTGGCTGCTGTAGAAGGACTGCGGGTGGTCGCACGTGGCTGCTGTAGAAGGACTGCGGGTGGTCGCACGTGGCTGCTGTAGAAGGACTGCGGGTGGTCGCACGTGGCTGCTGTAGAAGGACTGCGGGTGGTCGCACGTGGCTGCTGTAGAAGGACTGCGGGTGGTCGCACGTGGCTGCTGTAGAAGGACTGCGGGTGGTCGCACGTGGCTGCTGTAGAAGGACTGCGGGTGGTCGCACGTGGCTGCTGTAGAAGGACTGCGGGTGGTCGCACGTGGCTGCTGTAGAAGGACTGCGGGTGGTCGCACGTGGCTGCTGTAGAAGGACTGCGGGTGGTCGCACGTGGCTGCTGTAGAAGGACTGCGGGTGGTCGCACGTGGCTGCTGTAGAAGGACTGCGGGTGGTCGCACGTGGCTGCTGTAGAAGGACTGCGGGTGGTCGCACGTGGCTGCTGTAGAAGGACTGCGGGTGGTCGCACGTGGCTGCTGTAGAAGGACTGCGGGTGGTCGCACGTGGCTGCTGTAGAAGGACTGCGGGTGGTCGCACGTGGCTGCTGTAGAAGGACTGCGGGTGGTCGCACGTGGCTGCTGTAGAAGGACTGCGGGTGGTCGCACGTGGCTGCTGTAGAAGGACTGCGGGTGGTCGCACGTGGCTGCTGTAGAAGGACTGCGGGTGGTCGCACGTGTTGACTATCATCTCCAATCGTAGACCTGTCCAGCCGAACACGTCTGTAGAGTCCTAAAGGCCATGAAACGGAACGCAGGAGGATGGGATAAATAAAGTCAGAACGAAAGAAAGAAAGGGAGAATGGAGGGTAACCAGCACGGTCGGCCCAGTGACTGCTGTAAAACGACTGCGGGTGGTTGCATGTGTTGACTATCGGAGATCTGTTAACGCGTACACGTCTATAGCACCCTGAGGGCATTGAGGAGGGGGAGGAAGGAGGGGAGGGAGGGGAGGGAGACGAGGGAGATGAGGGAGATGAGGGAAAGAGGGATAAGGACAGTAACCAGCAAAGACGGACCAGTGGCTGCTGCAGAAGGCCTGCGGCTGGTCACACATGGTGGTGACTACCTTGGTAGACATGATACATTATGTGGCATAGGCACACATAGCGCAATAAACTCACCTGAATCATTTTCACTATCTGCAAGAACCGGCTGAGGCGGTAGTAGACGTGCCAGAAGGCTTCCATTCGTTTCACATGTCAGTCAGCCCTTGACTCACCTCACCTTGCATCGTTCGCACTCACTCTTCCAAACTCACCTGAATCATTTTCACTGTCTGCAAGAACCGGTTGAGGCGGTAGTAGACGTGCCAGAAGCCGCCGTACCGGAAAAAGACCTTTCCGTTAATCACCTGCAATGAAACGAAACAGCAGCGACAAACTGCAATGGAGCAAAGCGACACGGACGGACAAACAGCAAATGCTCATTTGCGTCCGATAAATGATCTTGAAAGGGGTTGAACTGCCAAAACGCTGTAGTAGACATAAAACGCTGCCACGAACTGAAACGCACCTCAACGTGAAGCCCACAAACTGTAACGGACCTTGACATGAAACGCTGTCACGAACTGTCTGTAACGCACCTTGACATGGCCAGAACATGACATGATAGACAGCTGCCGAGCCAAGTGTGCTTGAATCAATGTAAAAAATCTACCAGAAGTGATTTAAGCACGGAATTTCACGCACCTTGACATGGCCACAGCATGACATGACAGACGGCTGCCGAGCCAAGCGTGCTTGAATGAATCAATCCTCCAATAAAAAATGATTCAAGCCAAACGTTAACGCACACGCCCTAACGCACCTTGACATGGCCACAGCATGACATAACAGACGGCTGCCGAGCCAAGCGGTAGAGAGCCTCGGGAGTGACGAAGCCAGTATGGCCCAAACCAGACTCTATGCCCTGGGTTGGGATGGGATGGGTTGGGATGGGTTGGGATGGTGGGACATGGATTAGCATGGACTGGATTAGAATGGGTTAGGGGTATCATTCCCTATAAAAGCAAGTGGTAGAGAGCCAAGGGAGTGACGGATCCGGTATGGCCCAACGAGACTCAATTCCCTGAAATGAAATGAAATGACATGGGATGGGATGGGATGGGAATGCAAGGGGGGAGAGATTGAGATAGCAATTTTCTGAACCAGAATGGGATGGGGTGGGATGAGATGGGATGGGATGGGATGGGATGGGTGAGTTGGTATAAGCTGCCACAGCTCCAGATACTATGCGTCTTGGGTATATGTATCCCCACTATCTGCACACTTAGCTCAACCTTCCCATGCTGCACCAGCAACCCCCCAGTAACACCCACCTATCCCCACATCCCCCTTATAAGCCTCACCGGAATAGGCTGCCAGGGCTCCAGGTACTTGTGTATAAGCTTCAGATATTTCCCCACCATCGGCGCGCTTAGGTCAAACTTCCCATACTGCGGCACCCTCCCCAGCACATCAGCCTCCTCTGGGGGAAAGTCCAAGAGGGAGGGGCATGTGCCCTGAGGTGCTGCTAGCAACTGCACTTCGTCTTGCAGCCACAGCGCCGCCCATAGCGCCAGTGCCACAAGGCCCACTGTTGGGACAGTTATCGCATCCACCTATAACGGGGATGCATGGCAGGGGGGAAGGGGGAAACTGAGGTTAGACCTGCCAACAAGTGACTGTAAATATAATCCAGGAGGGAAATTTTGAGAGTGTAACATAGGGAAAAGAATACAGGCTGTAGAGTTAAGGGAGTGAAATTTAGGGAGTAGGAAGAAGAAATGCTAAGCAGGAAGTAGAATGGGGGGAAATCTAGAGGGGTCTGAGCGTTGCTAAAAGTGTACCTGCCTGGTCGCGCGAGAGCCGCGATAATCGCACGGCGATGGTCACTCGCATGCGCTGCAGATGCCCTGCGACCGCTGCGACTGTCGCGCGTGCGCACGACGACAGAACGGCGCCCGAGGCGAAACCGAACGCTCTTGCACCCGACGTTTCGCGAGCGTTGTCAGAGTCGTTGTGATCGGGTGGCGACGAGGAGTAATAGGTGTGGTGAGTCTGTAAGACGCTGCGCGGGTTGCTAAGATTGGAAGCAGAGTTGACTTTTGAGTCGACTCAAAAGTCAACTCGGGTTACTAAGATTGGAGGAAGGTAAGTTGCATTGCTACCGCTGCTATTTGGGATGAACGGGGACGGGGTCGATGAAGCCACCGGTGAATGCTGTCTTTCGTGAAGCTGGCCCGAGCCCTTGTAACCCGCGGGACGCGACATTTCGCGAAAAGATGGCGGAACCTATGGCGAATAATTATGAAGTTACCAGGCGCCTGGCGGCCCTAGCGCCACTGTGTTGAATTTCAGCTCCAACTATCCCACAGGCCAGGGGAGAGTGGTACACAGCCGCATGAATCACGGCGGGAAAGCCGCGATAATTAGGTGGTGTGGAAATGAGCGGCACGTTACCGCCACTAACTTCGCTTTAGGAGACTGTCTATCAGAAGTGTTGAGTGGGCTGTCATACCTGGTGGGTGTAAGCCAGAAAAGTGGGATGCGGACGGGGAATGGGAAGGAGAGAAAGGCAAGCACGGCAGCAACAGAGAGGGCGTGAAGGAGGTGCGAGGACGAGAGAGAGGGCGTGAAGGAGGTGCGAGGACGAGAGAGAGGAAGTGAAGGAGGTGCGAGGACGAGAGAGAGGGGGTGAAGGAGGTGCGAGGACGAGAGAGAGGGCGTGAAGGAGGTGCAAGGACGAGAGAGAGGGGGTGAAGGAGGTGCGAGGACGAGAGAGAGGGAGTGAAGGAGGTGTAAGGACGAGAGAGCGTGTTGACTGCGCACCTGGTGCATGCCAAGGCAGAAATGCAGCCCTCCCAGATGGAGAGCTCCCACTCATTGGCTACGGTCCTGAAAATACCAAACGACACTGCAACCACCTCCTCAGCTCGACAAGAGCCGTTAGCAGGGGGGAAACAGCTGCCTCGCAGTAGTTAAGTTCTCCAGAACTTGAGCACCACTATAACCTCCTCTTCCGTCCCTCTCCTCAGCAGCTCCTCTCCTTCAAATCCCAACCCTCTCATCCTCTTCACCACCTCTTCAGGGTCATTCTCCGCCACAACAAGCAGGTAAAATACTCCTCTAGGGGACAACAGCTCTGCTGAAACCTCCAAAGCTCGGTCGATTACCTCTCTCCCACGATCCCCTCCCGCCCAGGCTTGCGTGATTCCCGGACGGTGCACTTCTTGCGGCGAAGTGGGGACGTATGGCGGGTTGAAGATGAGAATGTCTACTTGGCCTGCCATCCTCGGTATAAGGGCCGATCCGAGATCCGATATAAGGACGTCCGCTGGAATGTTGTGGGCTGCTAGGGTTTGTCGGGTGATGTCCGCGGCATGGGGGTTGATGTCCACTGCGAGAAATGCGGATTGAGAAGCAAGGGAGACGGCTGCATTAGGAGCAACAGCACCTCTGCCAGCATCCCTACCAGCAGCACCAGCACCATCAGCGCCGCCAGCACTACTAGCAGCACTGCTGCTGCTAGCGATGACAGTGGGGGCAGAAGGAGCGACGAGGGCGCGGAGGACGAGGGCCACTGATGTAACGACGAAGCCGCTACCAGACCCGAGCTCGACAACCAAAGCAGGGAACGACGGCCGGCCAGAGGAGATAATGTGGGCATGAGGAGGGTGGGAGGTTCTGGGCGACTGTGCGGGTGGGTAGGCGGGGGGTTTGTGCGAGATCGATAATGGAAGGGCTTGGTCGGATGACGGACTGTTGTCGCTCGCGCAGGTTGCGAACGACGGGTAGAACCGGGCGATGTCCGCGGCGATGGCATCGGCGAGGGCGAAGGAGTCGTCACACGGCTCGTACACCTCGGGATGACGTGGCATGAGTCGCAGATCTGGCTGTGGCCAGCTCTCCCTTCGTTGACGTCCCTGCTGCTGACGTTGAGAGGCAGACATTTACGACTACGTCGATTGTATAGCGCAAGCTACTGCACCACAATGAGTTGCGAAACCTTAAAGTACAATCACCCCCTGAGATACTCGTTAACGTTCGGACAAAGCCGCTGATTTAGCGATAACGCGGCGCGACACGGGGATTAGGTAAGCACGGGAAGAGACGAGCAGCAATTTCGCTAGCAGCAATCTCACCAACTAAGGACGTGGCGAACAGGGCCTATGATCTTGCGATGTCACTATCACCCCACTCGCGGGGAGGCTCTAGTTCGTCTATCGCGGTAACTCCTCGCGCAACACATTTCGTTTGTGTGGGGTTTCAGTTTGTTTCCCAAGATTCGACGCAACTGATTGGCTGCACCAAACAACCAGATACCCCTTCACAGTCGGTTCAAAGCGGTTCAGTAGAGCGCCAAGATTTTGCAGAGTCGCCGATTTGTAACGTCTCGCAAACCTCAGAAATCGAGCAAAGTACAGCAAAAATTCTTTGAAAACCATAACAAGCAGACTCGATATTGGGGCGGAACGATTGGCTGGGTTTGCAGTCTCAAAGCAATTTTACAAGGCTTTCCAGTGGGAAACGGCAACAGTGGCAGCAGCATCCCCGTCCCCTTTTTGTACTGTACTGATGAGCTTCGGTTCTGCTCGGGAAACTTGTCAGCGCCGTGGCAGGGAAGGCAGGAAAAGCCGTTTTCGGTCGGTGCTCTTTGCGAGGAGGAGAGGAAACGTAAGGTTCTATTGCGTGTTTCCCAAATTAGTGTGTTTTGCTCTACAGCTTCAAGGTCCAAGCAAGAGGCGAAAGGAAGTGCCGCCGTTACAGAAGTGGCAGAAGCAGCTGGAGCGTGCATCGGAGAGATGGAGGGGGGACGGAGGGAGGGACGGACGGAGGGAGGGACGGACAGAGGGAGGGAGCGAGGAAGTCTACCCTCACCACTGGCGTGTGCAATAGGGATGACGTCGAAACGTGCCCGCCACGATTGCGTACTAATATCTCTCGGACAGATGTTCCTTCAGCCAAGCAGACGAACTTCGCACAGCCCTTTAGCTCAACTGAAAGTGCCAATACCGTTGTGTTGTTCATCTATCATTAACCAAACAAAGGGTACTTTTCTCTGTTATTGCACGACTCGTTCTGGTCGAGATTGACATGGCGTCTAGTCCCTTCCTGCTCTCAGTGCTTCTGCTCCTCGCAGCGGCTTTGTCGCCAGCCATCAATCTTGCGGGCGCTCAACCCCCTAACGGCACGGTTCAGATTCCGGGCGTTACCGTCGGTCCAGACGGTTCGGTGAGCGGTGACGGTTATTCGACCGACGCGGGGGACGGAAGCGTGACGGTAGATGGCACAACGTTCTTTCCCAACGGCACAATTGTGAACAGTGACGGTCAGGCGATCACCCCGACGACGAACGCGGACGGATCTGTGTCTGCCGGCGGTTTCACCGTCTATCCGAACGGGACCGTCACTTCTGATGGAACAACCGTCAATCCTGGCGGCGGGATAACGCTCCCCGGCGGGCTCAATATCAGTACCGGCGGCGCCGGCGGGATTCAGACGCCGGGATTTTCGGTGAATCCTGACGGAACAGTGACCGTTAAACAAGCTGCTCCGCCCGCACCCAAGCCTGCTGGTATGTACCGTGGCTGCTGTTATTTGTCACCCTCTGTGTCTGTTACATTACACCTGGACAGAATCGCGGCCAAGCATGCTGGTAGGCACCCATTTATTTCCCCCTTCTCTTACACGGAGAAAAAAATGCTCACGAAAGGGATGTCGTTTCAACCCACATTGCTGGATGTCCTTAATCTACCAGTTCCTCTGCTCCCGCTGTTTTCCCGTAGCAGGATCGCTTGTATCTCCTGCGAGCACATCGACTGGCCTTTTCACCACCCTGCTGGCCGTTCTCCTCTTCTACGCATGATCTCCTCTTATTGATGTTCTTAGTAGGGTAGGGAATAGAGAGTTGGTTCATCCTGGGACGCCTGGAAGAGGTAGAAGCTTGGAGCTGCGTTCAGCGCTGGGTGGCATCTGTACTCTTCTAATGAGTGGTGTTCAATAATATTTGGGAGTCTGGAGACCTGCACAATACAATTCTCTCACAATCAGAATTGAAATTATCTTAAGTACAAAATGATTTACAAATGAAGGGAAGCATTTTATTCCAGAACATTCCGTATTGGCAGTCAGGTCGGAGCTTGGATGTGTAGCGTCCCACTAGTCCAACTTTCTCCTAGGTACATTACCCTACAGCAATCATGCAGGCCAATCTTTAACCCTCTAAGCATGTCTGCTCGCAGCCAGATGAGCCCTGAGTCTGGACTGGTGGCCATGGCACAGAGTTATGCGCGGTCAAGCTGGTCCTTGGGTGTGTGTGTGTAAATTGCGCCCTTCCCATTCGAATTTCCATCCTACCTTTCCGACTGTAACATACAGCAATCACGGAGGACCAATCTTCTTGAGCCCTCGAAGCACGTCTGCTCGCAGCCAGATGAGGCCCGAGTCGGGAATGGTGGCCTTGGCACAGAAGAAGGCGCAATCGGGTTGGTGCTTGGGCGCATCAGGATCGGCACAGTGAACCAGAGCAGGGTTGGTGGCGTTGGGAGGGGGCTGGAGGAGGGGTCTGGGGTAATAACAGGGAGGGGCGAGGAGAAGGGTGAGGATGGAAAGGGGGAGGAGAAGGGGGGAGGGAAGGGGAGACGGAGGCATGAGGAATGCAGAGTCCGGCTGGTGCTTGGGTGCGTCTGAGTCGGCACAGTGCACCAGAGCAGAGTTGGTGGCGTTGGGTGAGGGCTGTCTGTAACAAGGGCCTGGGACAAAAAAAGAATGAGTACCCTGGAGGCATAAAGAATGCACAGCTGGGCTGGTGCTTGGGTGCTTCGGGGTCAGCGCAATGCACCAGAGCAGGGCTGGTGGCGTTGGGAGGGGTTGCAACAGGGGTCTGGGGTAATACGGTAGCAGGGAGGGACAAGGGGAGGGCCAACAAGGGGGGAGGAGAGGCAGAGGCATCAAGAATGCACAGTCAGGCTGGTGCTTGGGTGCGTTGGGGCCGGCGCAATGCACCAGAGCAGGGCTGGTGGCGTTGGGAGGGGGCTGGAGAAGTGGCCACTGCAACAGAGCAGGGTTGGATAACAAGGAAAAACACCAGTGTGGGGGGAGGGGGGGAGTAGAGAGGGAGGCATGAAGAATGCGTAGTGGGGCTGTTGCTTGGGTGCGTCGGGATCGGCACAGTGCACCAGGGCAGGGTTGGTTTGGTGGCCTTGGGTTGGGAGGGGGCTGTAGTAGGGGTCTGCGGGAAGAAGGAATCAAAGAAGTGGAGCAGGGGGAGGGGGTGTCAGAGAGACGAAGACGTGAAGAACGCGCAATCAGGGTTGGTTTGGTGGCATTGGGGGGGGGCTGTAGTAGGGGTCTGGGATGACAGTGGGGTGGAGCAAGGGATGGGATGGGATGGGATGGGATGAGGAGGAAGGTAGGAGGGAAGGGAAAGGAGGCATGAGGTAAACGTGATCGGGCTGGTGCTTGGGCACGTCGGGGTTGGCACAGTGCACGAGAGCAGGGTTGGCACAGTGCACGAGAGCAGGGTTGGCACAGTGCACGAGAGCAGGGTTGGTGGCGTTGGCGGGGGCTGGACGCTATGGTACTCGACGAGCAGCAGCGCCCAGTACAGGCGCCTGCCGCTCCACGTGCAGGCATACAGCCCACACTCACTCACACGTGCAGGCATACAGCCCACACTCACTCACACGTGCAGGCATACAGCCCACACTCACTCACACGTGCAGGCATACAGCCCACACTCACTCACACGTGCAGGCATACAGCCCACACTCACTCACACGTGCAGGCATACAGCCCACACTCGCGTGCACAGGCTTGCAGGGAGGGAGTAGACACCAGCACCACACCACTCACTGCTTGGTGCAAATCTCGTTGGCTGTTGGTTCAGTGATAGCAGATGTGTCCTGTAAGACATCCTGCTACTTGACCAGCAGCAGCGCCCAGTCAAGGCTCCTGCCACTACATGTGCAGGCATACAGCCCATACTTACTCACACGTGTAGGCCTGCAGGGAGCACACACCAACACCACACCACTCACTGCTTGGTGCAGATCTCATGTGCACTGGGTCCAGTGATGGCCGAGGGGTCTTGCAACACATCGTGGTACTTGACCAACAGCAGTGCCCAGTTCAGGCGTCTACCACTCCACGTGCAGGCACACAGGCCACACTCACATGAGAAGGATTGTAGGAAGCACACACCAACACCACGCCACTCACTGCTTGGTGCAGATCTCGTTGGCTGTGGGTTCGGTGATGGCCGAGGGGTCCTGCAGCACGTCATGGTACTTCACCAACAGCAGCGCCCAGTACAGCCGCCTGCCACTCCACGTGCACGCATACTGCGCCATGTGGTTCGCTGCATGCACCAGCCGCTGTGCCGCGTCGTCGTTCTCTTGAGCCCATCGGATCTTGGCAGGGAGATCGGAGAACCTGGAATGGGTTGGAAAACATAAAATGGGTTAAAGGGGAAGGTACTGAGAATTGTTGGCGGCGGCATGGTAACTCACGTGCAAGAGTAAGAAGAGGTTCGACCGTAACCAGCCAATGCACCCCATCCTCCAGTGGACGGTTACTCATAGAGCCACTACTTGTATTTGTAACCAGCCTTCCTGGTTACCACAGCCAGCACGGTTACCACAGTTCATGATTAGCACAGGGGAAGGCTAGGAAACCCTGCGACATGCACGGTTACTCACGTGCGAGTGGTAACCAGCCAGTGCACCCCGTCCTCCAGGAGTGGTTCGTAAAACTGAAAGAAAGGTAGTCTGTATCGTAATAGGGTTATCAGCAGGCACAGTTGTTACTCACGTGCGAGTGGTAACCAGCCAATGCACCCCATCCTCCAGCAGGGGCTCATAGAACTGGAAAAGGGGCGTCTGCATTGTTACCTGGTTACCAGCAGCAGACATCAACAGTCACGTGCGGGTGGTAACCAGCCAGTGCACGCCATCCTCCAGCAAGGGTTCGTGGAGCCAAAAGAAGGGCATCTCCATGGTTACCAGGTTACCAGAAGGTATTGTTACTCACGTGCGTGTGGTAGCTAGCCAGTGCACCCCGTCCTCCAGCAGAGGCTCATAGAACTGGAAGAGGGGCGTCTCCTGGCGAATGCTCAGCTGATTCGATCTCAACACTCCGCATGTTCTGCAGCTACCCCCTCCCCCATCCACGATCACCTGATGGAGGTGGGAAGAAGAATGGGGAATGGGAAGGGGAAGGAATGGCTTGCTGTGGCTCGTAAAACTGGAAGAGAGGTGTCGACTATTGAATGCTCAGCTGGTTGGATCGAAACACTCTGCACGTCCTGCAGCTTCCTTTCCCCCCACCTCTCCTACCTGGTACTTGAACGCGTTGAACTGAGTGAGGATCATTTGTTTCGCCAGCTGCAGCCCATCCGCTGTCATGGCCTTGATCACCAATAGCAGTCAAGGCAGTCAGAGGGCCCCTGCACTAAGGTATCGCATCTCACCCTCCTCTCCCCTGCCCCTCCCCACCTGGTACTTGAATGCATTGAACTGGGTGAAGTTCATGCGCTTGGCCAGCAACAGCCCATCCTCCGCCATGGCCTTGATAACCGCCGGCTTGGCATGGCTCCACGCGTTGATGTGAGCTTCCATCAGCGCCGAGTGAACGTCTGACAGCCGGTGCAGCCGCACACGGGGGTTGGCGCCCCAGTTCCCGTCCAGCATGTCAAAGTTGGTCGTTTTCCCCCGAAATACAGCGCGAGCTTCTTTCCTTTCCCATGGGACCTGGAAAACGAGGGGTTCGTGACGAACAGGGGTGAGTACGGCGCACGAATTGACTCAACCGCCGCACCCGTGGGGTGGGGGTCCATTCTATGTTTGCACGAGTCTGTGCATGTGAGCTTCCATCAGTGCCGAGTGCACGTCCGTCTGAAAGCCGGTGCAGCCGCATACGGGGTGGGCTGGCGCCCCAGTTGCCATCCAGCATGTCAAAGGTGGTCGTTTTCCCGCGGAACACTGCTCGTGCGCCCTTCTTCTCCCAAGGAACCTGGTGTGGTGGACAAGAGAGGTGCAGAGAAGCAAGGGGGTTGGCGCCCCAGTTGCCATCCAGCATGTCAAAGTTGGTCGTCTTGCCTCGGAACACTGCTCTTGCCTCCTTTCTTTCCGGGGGTACCTGGTGGATAGTAGAGGTGCAGAGAAGCAAGGGGGGTTTTGGGCGAATGGCTTACATACCACACCTGAGTGCCTCTCATCTCATTGACACACCTGAGTGCTGAGATCAGGCGTAAGTCCTCTGTTATATCAAGCGGGTCGGGGATGGGTATGTCCATGGTGTCGACTGTAAAGCCCATGCTCATCACACACAGGGTAACCAGCAAGAAGGGGGGGTTGGTTGGTGAGTGCCTCTGATCTCATTGACACACCTGGGTGCTGAGATCCGGTGTGTAGTCCTCTGTCAGATCCAGTAGATCAGATGGATATGTCCATGGTGTCGACCGTGAAGCCCATGCTCATCACAGGGTAACCAGCATGAGGGGGCGGGGTTGGTCAATGTCTGATGGCACACCTTGGTACCTCAATGTTCATCTCTTACCTGCGTGCTGAGATCAGGTGTGTAGCCCTCTGTCAAGTCAAGCGGGTCAGGGATGGGAATGTCCATGGTATCGACCGTGAAGCCCATGCTCATCACAGGGTAACCAGCACAGGGAGGGGTTGGTTGGTGAATGGCATGCGGAACACCTGAGCGCCTCCTTGATTGCCCACCCACCTGGGTGCTGAGGTCCGGCGTGTAGTCTTCTGTCAAATCCAGTGGGTCAGGGATGGGTATGTCCATGGTATCGACCGTGAAGCCCATGCTCATCACTGGGTAACCAGCGCGGTCGGCCCAGTGGCTGCTGTAGAAGGACTGCGGGTGGTCGCACGTGTTGACAATCATCTCCAGGCGAAGGTCTGTCAAACCGTACACGTCTATAGCGTCCTGGCGGTGTGGCAGGAAGGGGGGAGGAAGAATGACAACAGGAGAGCAACGAGGGAGGGTAAGCATAGCGGTCGGACCAGTGGCTGATGTAGAACGACCGCGGGTGGTCGCACGTGTTGACTATCATCTCTAATCGGAGGTCTGTCAACGCATACACGCCTATAGCGTCCTGTAAGGGGCAAGGGGGAACGCAGGAGAATGGGAGAGGGAGGAAGGGTTTCAGGAGAGATACTTGCGGGGGTGGTCGCACGTGTTGCCTATCATCTTGAGACAAAGATCTGTCTGACCGTACACGTCAGATGCATCCTGAGGGAGAGAAAAAAAGAAGAGTGCCGGTCAACAGAGTGTATGGATGGGACCACACACAGATGGAGGTGGCTTGGTTAGGTGATAGAGTGTATGATATAGATGTCAATTGCATCTTGACAGCAACGAGGTACAAGGGAGAAGCATACATGGTGTGGCAAGCAAGCCATGAATCTTCAAACTAGCTCACTAGAATCATCTTGACTTGAATGCACCCGCTAAATCGTCTCAACTAAACTTAAAATTACTTGAATTATCTCCATTGCTTGCAGAAAAAGGTTACGACACTAGCAGAGTAGTCATGAGAGATGCATTTCAATCAATAAAGTTGTCATCTCTTGACCTGAACCAACTAGAACATCTTGAGTCTTGACTCAATCAACTCATATTGACTCACTTGAATCATCTTCACTGTCTGCAGGAAGCGGTTGAGGCGGTAGTAGACGTGCCACAAGCCTTTCAGTGGTTCTGGTTGTCCTCTCGTTACCTGCCCATCATCTTGACTCACCTTGAATCAACTAAACTCACTTGAATCATCTTCACTGTTTGGAGGAAGCGGTTGAGGCGGTAGTAGACGTGCCAGAAGCCCCCGTACCGGAAATACACCTTTCCGTTAATCACCTGTGTGAGGATGGAAAAAATGGACAAATATGAGCGCACTGTTGATGCGCACTATACTATTTCTGGGGAGAAAACACACACACACACACACACACACACACACACACACACACGTGCGCACACACACGCACACACACACGCGCACAAACACACACACACACACACACACACACACACACACACACACACACACACACACACACACACACACACACACACACACACATTTTCGTTAATCACCTTAGTGAAGCATGAGCACAAGAGGCCCACGAGTGGTGCCACAAAAATGTAACGCACCTTGACATGGCCAGAACATGACATGACAGACGGCTGCCGAGCCAAGCGGTAGAGAGCCTCGGGAGTGACGAAGCCGGTATGGCCCAAACCAGATTCAATTCCCTAGGTTGGAGTGAGGTGGGTGGCATGGGTGGGTTGGGACGGGACATAGATTTCGCATGAATTGGATTGGGTTCGGAATACCAACTCTCTAAAAGATAAGCGGTAGAGAGCCTTGGGAGTGACGAAGCCCTTATGGCCCAAACCAGACTCAATCCCCTGGATTGGGATGGGACATATATTGGCACGGATTGGATTGGATAGTGACGAATTTGGTATGGCCGAAACCAGATTCATTTCCCTGGAATGAAATGACATGGGATGGGAATGCATTGAGGAATAGATTGGGATAGCAATTTTCTGAACCAGAATGGGACCGGATGGGATGGGATGGGATGGGATGGGATGGGATGGGATGGGATGGGATGGGATGGGATGGGGTGGGATGGGATGGAAGAGTTGGTATAAGCTGCCACGGCTCCAGGTACTATAAATCTTGGGTATATCATATATGTATCCCCACCATCAGCACACCTAGCTCAACCTTCCCGTGCTGCACCACCAACCAACCCCCCAGCAGCACCCACCCATTCCCGCATCCCCTTTACAAGCCTCACCGGTATACGCTGCCAGGGCTCCAGGTACTTGAGTATAAGCTTTAGATATTTCCCCACCATTGGCGCGCTTACGTCAAATTTCCCATACAATGGAACCCTCCCCAGCACCCACCAGCCTCACATCCCCCTAATAACCCTCACCGATATTGGCTGCCACGGCTCCAGGTACTTATATATAAGGCTTAGATTTTTCCCCACCAGGTTAAATTTCCCATACTGCGGCACCCTCCCCAGCAGCACCCACCAATCCCCATATCCCCCTTATAAGCCTCACCGGTATAGGCTGCCACGGCTCCAAATACTTGTGTATAAGCTTTAGATATTTCCCCACCATCGGCGCGCTTAGGTCAAACTTCCCATACTGCGGCACCCTCCCCAGCACATCAGCCTCCTCTGGGGGGAAGTCTGGGAGGGAGGGGCATGTGCCCTGGGGTGCTGCTAGCAACTGCACTTCGTCTTGCAACCACAGCGCCGCCCATAGCGCTAGTGCCACAAGGCCCGCAGTTAGGACGGTTATTGCATCTACCTGTAACGGGGATGGAGAGAGAGGGGGACGGGGGGAGCAGGCCAGCATGGGAAGAGTGAGGGAGGGAAAGGGAGGGAGGGGCAGGTGCCCTGGGGTGCTGCTAGCAACTGCACTTCGTCTTGCAACCACAGCGCCGCCCATAGCGCCAGTGCCACAAGGCCCGCTGTCAGCACTGTTATCGCATCCACCTGTAACGGGGATGCACGGGAGGGGGAAGGGGGAAAACTGGGTTCAGACTTGGATGGTTGGAATATAATACAGGGGGGGGTAAAAAGGGAAGTGGAATTTGAGAGAATAAAATCCATGCTGTGGAGTTCAGGGAAGGGAACCTAGGGAGTACAACGAATAAGTACAAAGTAGCAAGTTCGATGGAGGGAAATGTAGAGGGGTATGAGCGTTGCTACAAGTGCACCTGCCTGGTCGCGCGAAAGACGCGATAACCGCACGGCGACGGTCGTTCGCACGCGCTGCAGATGCCCTGCGACTGCTGCGACTGTCGCGCGCGCGCGCGACGACAGAACGGCACCTGAGGCGAAACCGAACGCTCTCGCGCCCGACGTTTCGCGAGCGTCGTCAGAGTCGTCGTGATCGGGCGGCGACGAGGAGTAATAGGCGTGGTGAGTCTGTAAGACGCTGCGCGGGTTACTAAGATTGGAGGAAGGTAAGTTGCGAGTGTTGCCACCGCTGCTATTTGGGACGAATGGGGAGTTGGACGATGAAGCCACCGGCGAATGCTTTCTTTCGTGAAGCTGCCCCGAGCCCTTGTAACCCGCCGGACGCGACATTTCGTGGGATGATTACGAAATTGATAGCGAATCGTATGGAAGTTACCAGGCGCGGATTGCTGGCACTGCCAACAGCACTGTGTTGAATCTCAGCTCAGACTATCCCACAGGCCAAGGAAGCGTGGTACACAGGCGCGTGAATCACGGCGGAAAATCCGCGGTAATTAGGTGGTTTGGAAATGAGTGGCACATTACCGCCACAAACATAGCTTTAGTTAGAGACCGTTCATCAGAACTGTTGGGTAGGTTCTGTAAAGGTGGCACTTTGTGTTCCATAGCGGGCGCCATGAGATGCCCTATGGGGCACTACTAGCCTAATTGCGTGTAGTGCAATTCGGTTTATGGTAAGGTTTGCGCGGTTTCGCTCGTCACAACTGAGCTTGGTTTCTCATCGAACCTCGGTTTCTCTTTTGTTTTGCGCGGTGCGCTCTGGTAAATATGAACGTTTAAGCGGTTCCGCTCGTCTGGAAAATTGCAGTTGCGGCGCCATCCACCCCTTGATCATGGGGGGTCGCCTCGCCATTGAAGTTGTCGACATTCGTGTTGCGAAACGTTAGCGTCTGTGCCGTGTGTGTGAGGCTCTTCCGTTTTCGAACTCGGTGGTGAACCAACAGCAATATTCGCTTTGTAACTCAGCTTATTGAAACTTCGCTCATCTTTGTCAACCCTTCGCAAAACCCTCCCACCCCCCCCACCATGCCATCCCAAGCAGCAACCAACCAACCAACATCAAGGTTCTCCTACCCGCATGCCTCGATCATGCAAGGGATGTCCCATGAGCTCATTATCGCTCTAAAACCTACCCCGCCATTTTAAATATCGAATCAATCGTTCTATGAACGCAAGCATTGATGTTGGCTCCAGCGAACATCGAGATCTCACTTCTGGAAGTTCAGCAATAAAGCAAGAAACCTGCTGTCGACTACCAGCATTGTCTGCTTTCGACTACCAGCATTGGCTGCTTGGTCCTTCCTGTGTGCTCCAGTCCTCTAGTCTAGTTAGTTGTCAAGTATGTCGTAAACGCTATACAAATAGCCGTAGACGGCGCTATCTCGCACTTTACTGGATCGAGAATGACGACATTCAATGCGGGTTGTTTTTCTCTCTCAGATGCCATTTTCACGGCCCACTAGCAGTGGGAGTGGTCGTTGGGAGGGTTGTCCGAAACCTTGCTAAGTAAACATCGCTGACCATCGTACGACCGCAGCACCCGGAGGCTCCTTACAGTCGCATTACCGTTTCGTAAGCGTTGTTCTGTACTTTTTCTAAACTGTGAATCATCGCAGATCTGCCTGAAAAGGTTCGTTACTGCTGGGCCTTCAGTTGGAATCTTTGACCTTCCAGCGGAATGACCAGATTGAATCGGAGCACGTGGGAGCCACGTGGCGGGAATAATAGTCGATTCCGTTCCGCGTCGAACATTCTGCGCGAATGTGTCGCACGACGCACATTGCACGACGCACGGTCGTAAATAGTCGTACGGTTGATGCGACGATCAGCCACGTGGCAGGTCGGAGCTGACGGAGACACCTCAGCAGCTTGGCAACTTCAAGGCGTTTCAGGAAAAGAGCCCCCAGGGGGTCGGTCAGCTGCTCCGCAGGCTCAGGGCGTCTCACGGATAGCAAACCGAAGAAGATGGCTCAGCTTCTCGGCATTCTCAAGAGGGTTCACGAATATCGAGCACGAGAATGCAGCTTATCTGCTTCTACTCGGCGCAACTCAGCTGCTCGGTGCAGGCAAGCTGAAGGAGACAGCTCAGCTGCTCGGCATTCTCGAGACGGTTCATGACTAGCGAGCACGAGGATGCGCTTATTTGCTCGGCGCAACTCATCTGCTCGGCGCAACTCATCTGCTCGGCGCAACTCATCTGCTCCGCGCAACTCATCTGCTCGGCGCAACTCAGCTGCTCCGCGCAACTCAGCTGCTCCGCGCAACTCATCTGCTTGGCGCAACTCGGCTGCTCGGCGCAACTCATCTGCTCGGCGCAACTCATCTGCTCGGCGCAACTCGGCTGCTCGGCGCAACTCATCTGCTCGGCGCAACTCATCTGCTTCGCGCAACTCATCTGCTCGGCGCAACTCATCTGCTCGGCGCAACTCATCTGCTCGGCGCAACTCAGCTGCTCGGCGCAACTCATCTGCTCGGCGCAACTCATCTGCTCGGCGCAACTCGGCTGCTCGGCGCAACTCATCTGCTCGGCGCAACTCATCTGCTCGGCGCAACTCATCTGCTCGGCGCAACTCGGCTGCTCGGCGCAACTCATCTGCTCGGCGCAACTCATCTGCTCCGCGCAACTCATCTGCTCGGCGCAACTCATCTGCTCGGCGCAACTCATCTGCTTGGCTCAACTCGGCTGATCGGCGCAACTCAATTGCTCGGCGCAACTCAGCTGATCGGCGTAACCCAGCTGATCGGCGCAACCCATCTGCTTGGCGCAACTCAGCTGCTGCTTCAGGAGCGAGCCATGGCATTTCAGGTACGGTTTGTGGGGTGTGCATTTCAGGTCCGTTCTTGTACCGAGCGGGATGCGGACCATTTTGTATGCGACGGAGCGATCGCAGCCGTATATCTGAAACCAGAACCAGCTCAATGTGTTCCGCGCCTAACCAAGCAATATCTTTACTGCGCAGGAGGACTTAAAAAATGCCCAAGAATCGTTCACGCCTCTCTGCCTTCAGCCCACCCGATCTAGGTAATTATGCCTCGGGTGTATCCCGTTTATTAAATACAACGTGTCATTTTCTAGTCTCCTTACTAGTCACTTTTGTGCACACCGAGCTTTGATATACGGGGATATGTTTCATCAAAATGTGTTTGTGGATGGATGCATGTATATATGGGGCACGTACCTACTCTGGGGCAAGGCTTACCTTGGCATATTTCACTGAGGTAAGGCTTACCTCGCCTTGGCCTATTTCACTGAGGCAAGGCGTACCTTGGTCGATTTCACTGAGGCAAGGCTTATCTTCGCCTATATCACTGAGGCAGTATTCGTTGTGAGAGGTGATGGTGCAGTAAAAGGTCTGACTCACGCCGTGCGCCTTGCTCGTGCCTCCCGGCCGTTCCCTCCCTGGGGGAAGTCTTTTGCAGAGCACTTTACCTGTAAGGGTGGGGTGTCCCGTGATTGATTGGCTGATGGCGGCAGACAAACCGCGTGTGCTCTGATTTCAACACCCCCTTCTGATCCCTCTCTTTTGCCCGCTTGGTAGGTCAGCAGCAAGACTGCTGCTGTTTTTCTTTCATCCCTACTTTTCACTCTTGAACAGCTCTTTGCTCAAATATTTCAGCTCTTTTCCACGTCTTTCCACTGCTTTCCCTCGGTGCGTTCCCTGCTTCATTTGTCGTACATAACGCTCAGATATTCTGAGGTTTGGGCTAAAGAGGGAGACGATGAAGCTTCTGTGATGTCTGAAGCATGCATGGGTCTTCCCCGCTGCCTCTCCACTTGAATCTGATGCATTATCAGCACGCAGCAGTTGTCTAGATGGCTAAGCACCCCGAGACGAGATTTCGGGTTTAAGAGGGAGATGATGAATGTGATATCTGAGCATGCATGGGTCTTCCCCGCTGCCTCCTGTCCAATCATCAGAACGCAGCAGGCAGAGGGGTTCAGGGGAGGGGGGAGGGGCGCAGGGCGGGAGAACGGGAAGCATTTTCTCGTTCAATCTCCCTCTCATGCTTTTCTTTCTCTTTTCTTGCGCCTCGCTGTCTCTGCCTCTGCTCTGTTTGGCTGGTAGTGGCGAATGGAAGCCCATGCGCGCTGTGATTGGCTATCACTTTATCCACGCCATCTGATCCCTCTAGCCATATTTCTTAAGGGCGCGCTAAAGATAAGCACATGCTCCTGCCCTTATATCAATGCTTTATCAGATCAGGGAGTTCACCTGTTGAACTTGGTCCCTATTCGCCCTGTTAACCCGCCCTTCCTCAGGGAATAGGGGGGGGAGCAAACGGAAAGGAGTTTCCCTCGTTCAAACTCGTTCCTCTCTTTTGTTTTCAGTTCTGATCACCAAACAGTCGAACCAGTCGCATGTTGCCGCACAAGCTAGCTGGGGGAACGAGCGTCAGAGGGAAATGATGAGATGAAGCAGGATCTGAGTCATGCATGGGCTTTCCCCGCTGCCGCCTGTTCATTTAGCAGCACGCAGCAGGCATAGGGGTTCAGGAAGGGGATACCGATGGGGGAAGAAAAACGGGAAGAATTTCTTCGTTCAATCTCTCTCTCTTACATTCTCTTTCCTCCTTTCCTGAGTCTCGCTGTCTCTGCCTCTGCTCTGATTGGCTGGTGGTGGCGAATGGGAGCCGATGCGCGCTGTGATTGGCCATCAGTCAACCCCCCCTGATCCCTCTAGCCCATAATCTTAAGGGTGCGCTTAAGATAATCACATGCTCCTGCCCTTGTATCAATGTTTTATAGATTAGGGAGTTCACCTGTTGAACTTGGTCTCTATTCGCCCTGTAAACCCGCCCTTCCTCAGGGAAGAGGCGGGAGAGCAAACTGGAAGGAGTTTTTCGTTCAAACTCTTTCATGCTCTCGTTCCTCTCTTTTGCTTTCAGTTCCTAATACCAGTCAGTCAAAACAGTTGCATGTTGCCGCACAAGCTAACTGGAGAGCTGAACTTCAGAGGGAAATGATGGAAATTGACCCCATCTGAGTCATGTATTGGCGGGCTATCGCTGCCTCCTGTTCATTCAGCAGCACGCAGCAGGCAGAGAGGCTCAGGGAGGGGAGAGCGATGGGGGAAGAAAAACGGGAAGAATTTCCTTGTTCAATCTCTCCCCCTTACATTCTCTTTCCCCTTTTCCTGGGTCTCGCTGCTTCTGCCTCTGCTCTGATTGGCTGGTGGTGGCGAGCCGATGCGTACTGTGATAGGCAATCAAGACACGCCGAGGCCTGATCCCTCTAGCCCTTAATCATAAGGGCGCTTTTAAAACATACAGATGTTTCTGAGCCTATATCATTGGTTTATTAGCAAGTTCACCTATCGAACTTGGCCCTTTGGCACCCTCTTCTTTCGCCCCCTTGTTTTTTGCCCGCCCACCTGCCATGACATATGAGTCGTTTCTGAAATTCACCTGTTGTCTTCGCTTCGTTTCCTCTCTGAGCATGCACATGCATCGAATTCATACTTGATGTCCATTGAGTCATTGCGAGTGTTCTTTTGGCCCCCTGTGCATTCACCCACTTTCCTTCTGTGACTCTAAGTTGTCTCTGTGCACATCCGCACTCATTGTTTTCCCTTTGCGCTTCTGTAAGTGTGCCTCAGAAGCGCTTGTGCGATTCTTTCATGAGCAATCATATTGGACTGAATCAATAAGTTCCTTACTGAATGGCAGAGGGGGGAATGATGAAAGCATAAGTACTCTGACCATCGCTAGCCGTGCTTGCAGTCACATTTCCAAGCAGACAGGAGCAGCAGGCAGTGGGTTCCAAGTGAGGGAGAAGGGAACATGAGAGAGAACGGGAAGAATTTTCTCGTTCAATCTCTCTCATACTCCCCCTCCTCCTCTCTTGATTCTTTCTGTCTCTGCCTCTGCTCTGATTGGCTGTTGGCCGCCGGTACAGCTGGCTGATCTGATTGATCTAACCGGCCGGTTTTCTGACCCCTCCTGCTCGATTGTTGAATGAGTACAACTGTAGATGAATGCGTTAAATTGGAGAACATGTAGACAAAGCTCAAATCGCTCATATGTATGCGTGCGTTGGGAAATCAGAGAACATGCCTGCCTCGTATCTGGTGTTTTATGATACAATAAGACATCAGTTTCTTTCTTTTCTTTCCTTTCTGCTCTTCCTTCTCCTGTAACTGCACGACCACAACTCCCCGCTTCCAGCTCTCCCTTTCCCCTTTCTCTGTTTGCCTCCTCTTACTTCCACTCCATTCGTTCGTCTGGTCCACTCTCTCCTTTCAATCCTCACATCACATTCACTGGAAAAGACATCAGTGCAACAACCTTGAAGCTCCTCTTGCTTACTCCACGCTCGTATTTGATCCTTTCCTTACCCAGTCCTCTCTCCCTTCCACTCCTGTCCTTACTTCCATTCTGCTCCTCCCTGGCTCCCCTCTTGCCTGTCTGTCCACAGTTCGTCTGTCCACTCCCCTGTCTGTCCACAGTTCGTCTGTCCACTCCCCTGTCTGTCCACAGTTCGTCTGTCCACTCCCCTGTCCGTCCGCCCATCCGTCCGTCCCCACGCCCTTCCACCTGCCCATCCGTCTCCATCCCTCTGTTTGCCCGTCTATCCCTTTGGAGAGGGCCCCAGTGGCATGTTCTTGGAAGTTTCCCATGCTCCACATTCGCAACCTCTCCCATATCAGCACCCCTCTCAGAGTGCCGTCACTTGTGCTCTCCTTCTCTCTCTGTGCCACACGGCATGTACAGAGCGAGAGGAGCAATGGGCGGCAGTGGCAGGGATGGGGATGGGGTCCTGCTGAACCAAGGCGCCCACCTGTGCTCAGTCATGCACAGGCAGGGAGACTGTGGGATCCACATTCTAAAGACATGCTTGAGACCCCTTGAAGTTCTCCCTTATGTGCCCAGTCAACCCCATACCCCGAAGCGTTAGGGTTTTGACGTGCCTCAAAACCTAGAAAGCATCCATGCTCCAGTATTCCTCTCCTGTGCTGAGGCATTAGCAGGCAGGGAGACTGGGACTCACACTAAGGGCGTGTTCCTACGCTCTTATCAGGCATACCTCTTGTCAGCCTTGCCTGGTAAAAGTAGCGAGGGTTTCTGGGTTCTGGGATTTTTCAGTGTGTGTTGACGCGAGCTTGATAAGGGGAGGGCCTGATCAGGGGCCGTAGGAACACGCCCAAAGGCCTTCACGTTCTAATCAGCAATTGCTAACCCTTCTTTCCCATCCCCCTTTCTTCCTTGCGACAAACCCTTGAATTCCATTCCACCAGGAGAGCTTCAGTCGTTGTTGAGACCAAAGGACGATCCGCATGACTGTCAAGAGACGTAAATATGTTTTTCCTGAATGCTCTCAGGTACACTCAAAATGTGAAGTCTATGTTTTGAGTGCATGTACAAGATTATGTGTTTTGGCATTCTCATGTACTACCCTTTGAGCAACGGTGAATCCGTTTGAACCAGATCGCGTCTAATCGGGCCTGGTGGCTTTGGAACATTTCCAGTCATGCATTCGTGTCGTTGACGTAGATTTGAGTGGCATTACTTCCATTACAGGGCTGATGTGGCATAACATCCAATCACGAAAGGTTGAAAATGTATTCTCGTCCACTTGGCCAGCAAGGAAGCTATCCCAGCCCGCTGACTGGTCCCGCCCGTTTCGAGCATTTTCCGTCCACAAAAGCTCCAACCTTTTCCGTTCAAAATCACAACGAATTCAGTCGATGAGAGCTTGTTGACCAGACCAAGCCAGTACCCTAGGGAGAATAGCTTGGTGCAACCGAAACCGCTAGCATTGGCTAGCATATTGGCATGCTTTAGTGTGTCGGTTACTCTACCACATCATCTGTCCAGTGGCGGGAGATTGCCGCGTTAACGAGTCGCCAGACACCCGTACAATAGGACTCTTCTTTTGTAGACAGCTCTAATCGGAAATCGAAGTTTAGATTCGCGCACCGCCAGTTGTGCAACCAGATTGAAATAAATCGCACTGGAGTTAAAGCTTTTCAAGTAGTGCACGCATCATGGTAGTCAAGTAACTCCCCTGGCCCTTCAGTCTGTGCACCGATAAGAGCTTAATGCTGTAACGAGTACGTTCGGAGACCTCGTTGCGGGCAGGCATCACATGGATCGCCGCGGGGGATCCCTAGATCATCACGGTGCGCCTCTCCTCGGGAATTCCCAACCGTCGGATCGAACTGGCGCCGGTGGGGCGTATCCGCACCATTCATTCCCCCGATGGGGATCTCAACCGCAGATTCACAATTCCGGCTACCGTAGGATTCAGGAATTCGGCGGGGAAAGAGGAGGAACCGGGGTAGGAGCGGGGAATGGAGGAGCAGGTACTGGTACGAGGCGAGGGGGATTTACCCGGCATAATTCGTGGGGCGGGATGTTTCGATTGAAGCACTCTCAGTCGCATACGAACCTCATGGCGGCGCCGCTCCCCAAGTGCCTCACGTTCTGGCAGCTCATCCCGCTAGGTAGTATGCTTCATGAGTTCCGCCATGGGATCACATAAGTGTTAGAGGGCCCTTGCTGTCGTAGGGCCTTAATCCATCCCGCCAGGTTAGCTTCAGTCCATCTCTGTATCCGATCCCAAACCAGCCCTCTCGCGGTCCGGTTTGAGCTTGATCTGTGTTGAGCGGCGGACGTGGGGAGTCTGGCCGAAGAAAGGTGCCTGGAGGGAGATCAACTGTCTGATCTGCGCTGATCTGTTTTGAGCGGTGGGAGGGAGGGGTGGGTTCTAAGAAAGATTCGTAGATCTCCCGCCGAAGAGGTGGGTTCAACGATCTGGATGCGCGGGCGTGTACGTGCGCGTTTGTTAAGCTCTGAGATCTAAGAAGGATGGAGCAGCAACCCCACTGGGCTACGAATCAGTTTCACCTCAGAACCTGCAGTTCATTTGCAGCCTCAGATCGTGTCTTCTCCTTGCACCCCTCTCCCACCTGCAACAGGAGTGGGATCAACCATAGGCGCGGGATTGTACGTGCTGATAGGCACAGTAGCACAGGAGAAGGCCTTTACCAGCGGTTCAGTTTCTGCCCCCCAAAACGCGGCATTCCCTTTCCTTCCTACCGCAGGAGTGGGATCAACGATTGGTGCTTGAGTGTACGTTCTCATTGGCACAGTGCGCAGGAGAAGGCCGGGGCAGCCCTCCCCCTCTTCCTCTTTTGAGGCGCCTCAAAACTTTTGACTTTTGAGGCGCATCAAAAGACATTGGCACAGTGGCACAGGAGAAGGCCGGGGCAGCTCTGCCCCTCTTTCTCATAGCAGGCATTTTCAGCTTGTGCTCCCTCAACACATGCCATGCCACTCTCTTTCACCCGTCACCCACAACAGGAGTGGGGTCAACCATAGGCGCGGGCGTGTACGTGCTGATAGGCACAGTGGCGCGGGAGAAGGCTGGGCCGGCGCTGCCCCTCTCCTTCCTCATAGCAGGCGTGGCTGCGGGCTTGGCTGCTCTCTGCTACGCTGAGCTTGCTAGTCGCTGCCCCTCTGCTGGCAGTGCCTACCACTACGCGTACACGACAGTCGGAGAAGTGTGAGTGTGCTTGGGGCGTGTGGGAGAGCTGTAGAATCGCTGTGCCTGCGGGCTTGGATGCTCTCTGCTACGCTGAGCTTGCTAGTCGCTGCCCCTCTGCTGGCAGTGCCTATCATTACGCGTACACCACCGTGGGGAAGGTGTGAGTGTGTGTGAGTGGTATGGGGGAACGGGGAAGGTGTAAGTGCAGTGCAGACGGCTAGGCAGGCGATTCACCCTCCTCCTAATAGCAGGCGTGCCTGCGGGCTTGGCTGCTCTCTGCTATGCGGAGCTCGCAAGTCGCAGGCCCTATGCTGGGAGTTCCAACCACTACGCTTACACCACCGAGGGGGGACTGTGAGTGGAATTGGGGATTGCTGCCCGTCTGCCAGGTCTGCTGAGGAGTGTTTCCTCCAGCAATAGCCGGAGGTTAATGAATGATGACGCTTGGTTCGGCTTCAAGCCGTCTCTCTGTTGTCCTCTCTTTCTGGAAACACCAGGGTGGCATGGCTCCCTGGTCGCTTGGGCGCTCATCCTCGAGTATTCCGTGGGTGGGGTAGCAGTAGCAGTGGGGCAGCAGTAGCAGTGGCTCGAGGCATGCCTCTCACACAGTCACCACAGTCTCGATGCGTCTCTCTCTTCTCTTACCCTCTCCTGATGCCTGGACTGGACCCACCAGGGTGGCATGGCTGGCTGATCCGCTGGGCGCTCATCCTCGAGTATTCCGTGGGTGGTGCAGCAGTAGCAGTGGGGCAGCAGTGGGCTTGACTCGACGCATGCCTCGCACACAGTCACCACAGTCTTGATGCGTCTCTCTCTTCTCCCCTCTCTTGCTGGCTTGTCTTTCAGGGTGGCATGGCTGATCGGCTGGGCATTCATTCTCGAGTTTTCCGTTGGTGGGGCAGCAGTGGCAGTGGCTTAAGGCATGCCTCACACACAATCTGCGCAGTCTTGATGCGTCTCTCTCTTCTCCCCTCTCTTGCTGGCTGGTATTTCAGGGTGGCATGGCTGATCGGCTGGGCGCTCATTCTCGAGTATACCGTGGGTGGGGCAGCAGTGGCTCGCGGCATTTCACCGAACCTGGTAACCCTGCACAATCAGGGGGGGGCAATTTCGCAAGGTTTTGGCAATGTTTTGTGCATTCAGCTATGCATGCAATCTTTCATTCATGCCTGGTTTGTTAATGCTTATAAGGAGACAGACCGAACGACAGACAGCACGTCTTGCCTCAACTCAACTCTGGCCTGCCTGCCTACCTGTCTGTAAATGCCTATGCATTTCCAAATTCATTCTATTGTCTCTCACTTCCCCACGGCCCCCAACCACCTGTTCAGGCAACGGCATTGGGAGGGCCAGACAGCTTACCGTTCATCCTGGCTCGCTTGCCTGTCCCAGGCACCAGTGTGGTCCTGGATCCCTGTGCTGCCATCATGGTGGCTGCAGTGACGGCACTGCTGTCGGCCGGCATAAAGGAGGTGAGACAGGCATGCATAACAGCAGGTGTGGTTACTGACCAGGTTCTCAAGTGAGTGTGTGGGTACAGCAGCACGTGGGTGTGTGGCTTGCATGCCTGTCCCGGGCACAAGTGTGGTCCTGGCTGGATCCATGCGCTGCCCTCATGGTGGCTCTCGTCACTGCGCTGCTGTCTGCCGGCGTTAAAGAGGTGAGGTAGCAGCACGTGGGTGTGTGGCATGTGGGTGTGTGGCACGTGGGTGTGTGACACGTGGGTGTGTGACACGTGGGTGTGTGGCACGTGGGTGTGTGGCACGTGGGTGTGTGGCACGTGGGTGTGTGGCACGTGGGTGTGTGGGCACGTGGGTGTGTGGCACGTGGGTGTGTGGCATGTGGGTGTGTGGCACGTGGGTGTGTGGGCACGTGGGTGTGTGGCACGTGGGTGTGTGGCACGTGGGTGTGTGGCACGTGGGTGTGTGACACGTGGGTGTGTGGCACGTGGGTGTGTGGCACGTGGGTGTGTGGCACGTGGGTGTGTGGCACGTGGGTGTGTGGCACGTGGGTGTGTGGCACGTGGGTGTGTGGTGCACGCGGGTGTGTGACCTGCCTGTCCCAGCCTTCCAGGCACCACTATAGGGTTGGATCCCTGTGCTGCCATCATGGTGGCTGCGGTGACACTACTGCTGTCTGCCAGCTTCAAGGATGTGCGGTAGCAGCACGTGGTGTGTGGCTCGCCTGCCTCTCCAAGCCTCCCAGGCACCTCGTGGTGTTGGATCAATCCCTGTGCTGCCCTCATGGTGGCTCTCGTCACTGTGCTGCTGTCTGCCGGCATAAAGGAGGTGCGTTGAGAAGTATGAGGCAAAGTGGTATAGGCAGGCAGAGGAACTATGTCTTCAAAAGGCACCACTATAGTGTTGGATCTGTGCGCTGCCCTCATGGTGGCTCTCGTCACTGCGCTGCTATTGGCCAGCATAAAGGAGGTGCGTTGACTGTAATGAGGAAGAGTGCTATGGTATAGTGAATCTGTTTTTTGAGATTGAAAAAAAAACAGAGGTGCGTTCACAGATATGAGGCAGAGTGCTCTGGTATAGGTGGAGTGTAGCACCACCTGGGCATGTGGCATGTGAGTATGTGACACGTGGGCTTTAACCGTCTTCTGTTCAATATCCTCTTTTTCGTTTATCTTCCCGATAGAGCACCACAGATGGGGAAGAAAGTATCGATTGAGATGGTTCTGTTCGTGTGTGTCTGTCTGTTTTCTTCACTTTCCTTTTCCTCCTTACGTTGCAACATCCCTACGCTCTGTTTCTGCTCTTGCCTTGTAGAGCGTCAATTTCCAGATGGGGATGAAGTGGTAGGGGAATCAACTCTGAAAATCGGAACTTGTTTCTTGTACTGTCAAACGAGATTCAGGAAGGTGCTGAGCTGGCAGCAGGGGCATTGGCACACGCGATGGTGACATCAACATCCAGCGTTGCTGACACGGCGGCCGTCCCTGCTGCCAGCTCAGCACCTTCCTGAACCTCACTTGACAGCACAAGAGACAAGTTCCGATTCTCAGGACAGTGGGTACTTTGTTGGTTGGATGCCTAACCATGTGATTGCACTGCTTCACTTAAGTGTCCCTCTATTCTGCTTCTGTTCAATAACCCCCTCGTCCGCTTCCGCTCTTGCCCTTGCAGAGTGCCAATTTCCAGATGGGGATGACAGTAGCGAATATGATTATACTGCTGTTTGTCGCAGTGGCGGGTGCATGGATAGGATTTACCCATGGATGGCCAGGGTACAAGGAGTCTTCAAGGTGGGTGATTAGGATGCAGTAATTTTGGGGGGATATGGGTGCTGCTGTGGGTGCTTGTGCTGTGGGTGCTTGTGCTGTGGGTGCTTGTGCTGTGGGTTTTTGTGCTGTGGGTTTTTGTGTTGTGGGTTTTTGTGTTGTGGGTTTTTGTGCTGTGGGTTTTTGTGCTGTGGGTGCTTGTGCTGTGGGTTTTCGTGTTGTGGATTTTTGTGTTGTGGGTTTTTTTTGCTGTGGGTTTTTCTGCTGTGGGTTTTTGTGTAGTGGGCATTTGTGCTGTGGGTTTTAGTGTTGGTGGTAACCTGTTACAATTCCTTTGACTCGAATCCATACCCTATGTGCCCTCCTCACCTCCCCTCCATGTCCCTCCATGTTTTGAGTCGTCTCAAAATCCCTTCATGAGTCTCAAAATCCCTTCATGAGTCTCAAAATCCCTTCATGAGTCTCAAAATCCCTTCATGAGTCTCAAAATCCCTTCATGAGTCTCAAAATCCCTTCATGAGTCTCAAAATCCCTTCATGAGTCTCAAAATCCCTTCATGAGTCTCAAAATCCCTTCATGAGTCTCAAAATCCCTTCATGAGTCTCAAAATCCCTTCATGAGTCTCAAAATCCCTTCATGAGTCTCAAAATCCCTTCATGAGTCTCAAAATCCCTTCATGAGTCTCAAAATCCCTTCATGAGTCTCAAAATCCCTTCATGAGTCTCAAAATCCCTTCATGAGTCTCAAAATCCCTTCATGAGTCTCAAAATCCCTTCATGAGTCTCAAAATCCCTTCATGAGTCTCAAAATCCCGTCATGATTCCTGTCATTCAAACCCTCACCTCAAGTGCACTTCACCTCCCTACCATGTGTTGCCATGCAAGCTCAGACCCTTACCATTCTAGTTTTGAGGCGCCTCAAAACTAGACTTCAACTCCCTACCATGTGTTGCCATGCAAGCTCAGACCCTTACCATTCTAGTTTTGAGGCGCCTCAAAACTACACTTCACCTCCCTACCATGTGTTGCCATGCAAGCTCAGACCCTTACCATTCTAGTTTTGAGGCGCCTCAAAACTACACTTCACCTCCCTACCATGTGTTGCCATGCAAGCTCAGACCCTTACCATTCCGTTCTGTGCCTCCAAGCCCTTGGGTGGCAAAATTCATACTTTTTCTTTGTTTTCCCTTTCCCTGAGAGTGTGTTTAACCACTTACCTTTCCTTCTTTGCTCTCACTCCCACTTTATGAGCCATTCGTTTTGCCCTCCTTCCCCTGCTTCTCCCCTGTCTCTCCTCGCCCTTTCTATTCCAGCTACCTACCATTCGGTGTGTCGGGATTGCTGGGAGGAGCTGCAATGGCCTTCTTCTCGTACATTGGATTCGACACCGTTGCCAGCACAGCAGAGGAGGTATGCTGAGTTAACTTGAGGGTAGTAGCGTGTTCTTTACTGTAAAACCGAGACCACTGCTACCTCTCACATGACTTGTTTTCTTTCTTACACTGGATCGTTTGGCATGCGTGACAGTGAAGCAGAGCCACTGTTAACCGTTTCGTGTATTTGTTTTCAAGACATCGATCAACCTGTTAGCGTTTTCAGTTTGTTCTATTTCCGTGTTTGATTGATACTGGTGAAGCACCGTCATTTGAGTCGACTCAGAAGTCACCTTGTTTTTGTTCTTAAAAAACCTCTCGTCTGCCACAGGTGAAGCACCCTCAGAGGGACCTGCTGCTGGGAATAGGCCTGTCGCTGGCATGCTGTGGTGCTCTCTGCATGCTGATAACGCCACTCTACCTGCTCATACTTACCTTTCTCCGTTCCCCATACATACTCTCCCGTCCCCCATTCCCTATATGCAGGTGAAGCACCCTCAAAGGGACCTGCCTCTGGGCATTGGGCTTTCCCTGACCTGCTGTGGCGCGCTCTACATGGTGATAGCGGCAAAGTACCTGCTCATACTTACCTGTCTCCATTCCCCGTGGTGCCTCCCCCTTCCTCTATGCACAGGTGAAGCACCCTCAAAGGGACCTGCCTCTAGGAATAGGCCTGTCACTCACATGCTGTGGCGCTCTCTACATGGTGATAGCGGCGGTGCTGGTGGGGTTGACTCCGTTTGACCGCATTGACCCGGACACGCCCATGGCTCAGGCGTTTGACACCTACCATCTTGACTGGGCCAAGTGAGTGAGGGAGTGTGCACTTTGGATGTGCGAGATGCAGTCGTATGCGGTAATAGTGCAGTGCTGGTGGGGTTGACTGCGTTTGAATGCATTGACCCGGACACACCCATGGCTCAGGCGTTTGACACATGCCATTTGGATTGGGCCAAGTGAGTGGGAGAGGCAGGGTGTGAAGGAGGGGCGGTGCTGGTGGGGTTGACTCCGTTTGACCGCATTGACCCGGACATCACCCATGGCTCAGGCGTTCGGCACCTACCACCTTCACTGGGCCAAGTGAGTGAGGGAGGTGGTCTGCGGGAGTGAGTGAGCGAGTGCGCACGTCATATGTGCAAGATACAGCTGTTTAAATCTTGAACGATGTGCTCGTATCACGTATCTGCGCATGTGTTCATACCTTACATGTGCTTGTATCGCAGGTACCTTGTAACAGGGGGTGCGCTAGCAGCGCTCTCCACTACTCTCCTCGGATCACTACTACCCCAGGTAGTTGCCTCCTGCATATCGCCTGCTGCTTCAGGTGGTTTCCAGGTGCTTTATGTGATTTCAGGTGCTTCAGACGTTTTTCACCTGCTTCCATTGGTGAGCACCTGCACTCGAGGTGAGCGTCGTGGATCCGGTTTCTCTACCGGCGCAACAGCATGGGCAGTGTGGACGGATAGTTGGTTATGCCGCCATGGAGCGAGAGAAGAGGAAAGCGGTGAATTCTCTTGCTCCTTGGTGGCATAAACAACTGTTTCTCCACACTGCCCATGTTGTTGCGCCGGTAGAGAAATCGGATCCACGACGCTCACCTCAAGTGCATGTGCTTCCCCATCCATCGGTCTGATGATGATGGCGCGGGACGGCCTCCTCCCAGCCTGGTTCGGCCGCATTGACAAGACCACGGGAGTGCCTCTCAACGCGACCATGGTTCCCCTGTCCTCCCTTTTGCCTTGCCCCCTCACCCCACAGCCACGCATACTCATGGTCATGGCTCGCGACGGCCTCCTCCCAGCCTGGTTTGGCCGCATTGACAAGGCCACGGGAGTGCCGCAGAACGCGACAGCTGTCACCGGGCTATTGGCCGCCGCCATGGCGTTTGTGCTGGATATCGGACAGCTGTCGGGCATGGTGGGTGTGGGGAAGGGAGGGGAGGGATGGGGGGATCGGAGGCATGAGAGCATGGGGAGCGTGCTGCCATGGCTCACATGGGCTAGTGGCCGCTGCTATGGCGTTTGTGCTGGATATTTGGGCAGCTGTCAGGCATGGTGGGTGGGGTTGGGGGTTGGGGAAGAGTGGACTGTGGGTGAGCCTTGAGGAGTCAGGCGTTTGTGCTGGATATCGGCAGCTGTCAGGCATGGTGGGTTGGAAGGGGGTGGAGGGAGGGGAGCATGGTGAGAGGGGGGCGTAATCATGGCATGGTTTTCATAGTCATCTTGTTTATTCTTACCTCTTCTTCCTTCCGACCCTCCTCACCTTCACCACTGTCAGCCTCTCAGTCCTCATCCTTCAGCCTCTCAGTCCTCATCCTTCCGTGATTGATAATCCGCCTATCTCCTCCCTTTCTCTCGCACTCCTCTCTCCCTGTCTGCCTCCCCCGTGCTAACACCAGGTCAGTGTCGGCACCCTTCTCGCACTCACCACCGTCAGCCTCTCAGCCCTCATCCTTCATTGATTGACACGCTTTCTTCAGCCTGTTGGTGTACATATGTTTGATATTCTTTCTCCCGTCCTCCTCTGCTCACTTTCGCCTCCACTCCTCCTCTCTCCCTGTCTGCCGCCCCCATGCTAACACCAGGTCAGTGTCGGCACTCTCCTTGCCTTTACCACTGTCAGCGTCTCAGTTCTCATCCTTCACTTATTGCAACTCTGCTCCCCCTCTCCTCCACTCCCTCTCTCTCCCTTTCCTACTTCCACTCACACCAGGTCAGTGTCGGCACCCTTCTCGCATTCACCACTGTCAGCCTCTCAGTCCTCATCCTTCGCTACACCCCTCCCGCCTCTCCTCCCACCCCTCTACCCTCCTCACACCCCCTTCACTCCCCTCCTCCTCTTCTTCCTCCCACAACCAGCTTTACCTCCCCACATCTTCCTCCTCTCGCCCCTTACCAGCCTACGCGTTCTCCCCCCCAACCCGACCCCAGTATATAACATCCTCCCTTCCAACTGCCGCCGCAGGGGCGGGTTTTTTTGTCTCTTCCCCTCTCCCGGTTGGCCAATCCAGTGTGTTCCAGCACATGGGCTCGCCGGACAGCCTGGGCACATCTCCAGCCGTTGAAATCCGATCCAACGGCCAGCTGCAGTCCGTGTTTTCGCTCACTCCCAACTCGTTTCAAGCACCGCTGCTGGCTCGATTGCTTGAAGAAAGGGCGGGAGAGGGGGAGGGGGGGGCGGAGGGAGGGGATGAGGAAGAGAGGGAGGAAGAAAGACGAAATGAGGAGGAGGAGAGTGAGGAGGAGGGAGGGGATGAGGAAGGGGAGGAGGACGGAGGGGAAGAGCAAGAAGAGGAGTTGGATTCTCAGGAACCAAAGCAGCAGCACCATACGGCAAACCTTTTCACCGCATGCAACACCACAGTATCGAGAGGAATGGGTGATGAAGCTACTGTTGACATTGCCACTGAGAGCAACACTTCAGGAGCCAGGAAACAGAATTCTGCTCCCCCCAATGCTATCACGCCTTGTACAGTCACTGCTCCGGCCACCACCGCTGCTACAGCCACTGCTACAGCTGCTGCTACAGCCGTCACTGCACCCGCATCCCACAGACGCCTGGCCTCGCGAGCCATCATCGCCGTCTCGCTGGGAGCCCCGCTCCTTGGCGCTGCCGCTGCTGCTGCTGCAGCTTCTGCTGACCTCACAATCACAACAATGTGAGTAACGACCTCCCACTCTCCACTCCACTGCACCCACATCACACAGACTCCTGGCCTCTCGAGCCATCATCGCTGTCTCACTGGGCGCTCCTCTCCTTGGCGCTGCTGCTGTTATGTCTTCGCCCTCTGCTGACGTCTCCAGTTCCGAGTGAGTGGTAACGCCTTCCCTCTCGCTCTCTACTGAGCTGCTCATTGTGAGTAACAGTTCTCCTCCTTCTGCTCTGGCTTCGCCCTCTGCTGACCTCTCCTATTCAGACTGAATGGTAACGTTTTCCCTCTCTACACAGCTTGTGGGGGTAAGAAGTAGAGTCACTGCTGCAGACATGTCAACTTTTGAGGCGTCTCAAAAGTCCTCTTTACACAGCTTGTGGGGGTAAGAAACGACTTTTGAGGCGCCTCGAAACTTGTGGGGGTAAGAAACGACTTTTGAGGCGCCTCAAAACTTGTGGGGGTAAGAAACGACTTTTGAGGCGCCTCAAAACTTGTGGGGGTAAGAAGTAGAGTCACTGCTGCAGACATATCAACTTGCTGCTACTGGATGCAGCACAGACTTTCCTTTTTGAAGGAACGTCGTTGCCTCGATTTCCAATCATTGCTGCGGACATGATTTCCAATCATTGCAGAGGTCAGCAGCACATCTGCAGCGACCATGCACAGTACACATCTGCAGCGACCATGCACAGTAGCATCCTGTGCCACAATGCCAGCTCCCACTGCGGCTAGTTTTGAGGCGTCTCAAGACTGTGCATAGGCGCATAAGAAACCAGCTGCCACTCGTGTTATTTCTCCTCTGCCCCCTGTCCCATTTCTTCTCTCCCACGCCCCCTCTCCCTGCTCCCTACTGTCTCCTACCGTATCCTCTGTCCCTTATCCTCTCCCCTGTCCCTTCTACCTCCTCCCTTCCCTCCCACCAGCTGGTCACCTCTCCTACTGTTCTCTCTGGGCAGCCCATTGTTCCTCGGAGGGGCGGCAACGCTTGGATGTATCAACGAGGACGAAGGAAGGCACCAGTTCGGATCAGCAGGAGGTGAGGGGGATTACAAACTCGTATCCAAAATCAACTTTCCAGGATTTCATGAGTCGCTTTTGCAGTGCCTTTCCCACTCTTGCATCGTTTACTTCCCCACTCTTGCATCGTTTACTTCCCCACTCTTGCATCGTTTACTTCCCCACTCTTGCATCGTTTACTTCCCCACTCTTGCATCGTTTACTTCCCCACTCTTGCATCGTTTACTTCCCCACTCTTGCATCGTTTACTTCCCCACTCTTGCATCGTTTACTTCCCCACTCTTGCATCGTTTACTTCCCCACTCTTGCATCGTTTACTTCCCCACTCTTGCATCGTTTACTTCCCCACTCTTGCATCGTTTACTTCCCCACTCTTGCATCGTTTACTTCCCCACTCTTGCATCGTTTACTTCCCCACTCTTGCATCGTTTACTTCCCCACTCTTGCATCGTTTACTTCCCCACTCTTGCATCGTTTACTTCCCCACTCTTGCATCGTTTACTTCCCCACTCTTGCATCGTTTACTTCCCCACTCTTGCATCGTTTACTTCCCCACTCTTGCATCGTTTACTTCCCCACTCTTGCATCGTTTACTTCCCCACTCTTGCATCGTTTACTTCCCCACTCTTGCATCGTTTACTTCCCCACTCTTGCATCGTTTACTTCCCCACTCTTGCATCGTTTACTTCCCCACTCTTGCATCGTTTACTTCCCCACTCTTGCATCGTTTACTTCCCCACTCTTGCATCGTTTACTTCCCCACTCTTGCATCGTTTACTTCCCCACTCTTGCATCGTTTACTTCCCCACTCTTGCATCGTTTACTTCCCCACTCTTGCATCGTTTACTTCCCCACTCTTGCATCGTTTACTTCCCCACTCTTGCATCGTTTACTTCCCCACTCTTGCATCGTTTACTTCCCCACTCTTGCATCGTTTACTTCCCCACTCTTGCATCGTTTACTTCCCCACTCTTGCATCGTTTACTTCCCCACTCTTGCATCGTTTACTTCCCCACTCTTGCATCGTTTACTTCCCCACTCTTGCATCGTTTACTTCCCCACTCTTGCATCGTTTACTTCCCCACTCTTGCATCGTTTACTTCCCCACTCTTGCATCGTTTACTTCCCCACTCTTGCATCGTTTACTTCCCCACTCTTGCATCGTTTACTTCCCCACTCTTGCATCGTTTACTTCCCCACTCTTGCATCGTTTACTTCCCCACTCTTGCATCGTTTACTTCCCCACTCTTGCATCGTTTACTTCCCCACTCTTGCATCGTTTACTTCCCCACTCTTGCATCGTTTACTTCCCCACTCTTGCATCGTTTACTTCCCCACTCTTGCATCGTTTACTTCCCCACTCTTGCATCGTTTACTTCCCCACTCTTGCATCGTTTACTTCCCCACTCTTGCATCGTTTACTTCCCCACTCTTGCATCGTTTACTTCCCCACTCTTGCATCGTTTACTTCCCCACTCTTGCATCGTTTACTTCCCCACTCTTGCATCGTTTACTTCCCCACTCTTGCATCGTTTACTTCCCCACTCTTGCATCGTTTACTTCCCCACTCTTGCATCGTTTACTTCCCCACTCTTGCATCGTTTACTTCCCCACTCTTGCATCGTTTACTTCCCCACTCTTGCATCGTTTACTTCCCCACTCTTCCCCACTCTTGCATCGTTTACTTCCCCACTCTTGCATCGTTTACTTCCCCACTCTTGCATCGTTTACTTCCCCACTCTTGCATCGTTTACTTCCCCACTCTTGCATCGTTTACTTCCCCACTCTTGCATCGTTTACTTCCCCACTCTTGCATCGTTTACTTCCCCACTCTTGCATCGTTTACTTCCCCACTCTTGCATCGTTTACTTCCCCACTCTTGCATCGTTTACTTCCCCACTCTTGCATCGTTTACTTCCCCACTCTTGCATCGTTTACTTCCCCACTCTTGCATCGTTTACTTCCCCACTCTTGCATCGTTTACTTCCCCACTCTTGCATCGTTTACTTCCCCACTCTTGCATCGTTTACTTCCCCACTCTTGCATCGTTTACTTCCCCACTCTTGCATCGTTTACTTCCCCACTCTTGCATCGTTTACTTCCCCACTCTTGCATCGTTTACTTCCCCACTCTTGCATCGTTTACTTCCCCACTCTTGCATCGTTTACTTCCCCACTCTTGCATCGTTTACTTCCCCACTCTTGCATCGTTTACTTCCCCACTCTTGCATCGTTTACTTCCCCACTCTTGCATCGTTTACTTCCCCACTCTTGCATCGTTTACTTCCCCACTCTTGCATCGTTTACTTCCCCACTCTTGCATCGTTTACTTCCCCACTCTTGCATCGTTTACTTCCCCACTCTTGCATCGTTTACTTCCCCACTCTTGCATCGTTTACTTCCCCACTCTTGCATCGTTTACTTCCCCACTCTTGCATCGTTTACTTCCCCACTCTTGCATCGTTTACTTCCCCACTCTTGCATCGTTTACTTCCCCACTCTTGCATCGTTTACTTCCCCACTCTTGCATCGTTTACTTCCCCACTCTTGCATCGTTTACTTCCCCACTCTTGCATCGTTTACTTCCCCACTCTTGCATCGTTTACTTCCCCACTCTTGCATCGTTTACTTCCCCACTCTTGCATCGTTTACTTCCCCACTCTTGCATCGTTTACTTCCCCACTCTTGCATCGTTTACTTCCCCACTCTTGCATCGTTTACTTCCCCACTCTTGCATCGTTTACTTCCCCACTCTTGCATCGTTTACTTCCCCACTCTTGCATCGTTTACTTCCCCACTCTTGCATCGTTTACTTCCCCACTCTTGCATCGTTTACTTCCCCACTCTTGCATCGTTTACTTCCCCACTCTTGCATCGTTTACTTCCCCACTCTTGCATCGTTTACTTCCCCACTCTTGCATCGTTTACTTCCCCACTCTTGCATCGTTTACTTCCCCACTCTTGCATCGTTTACTTCCCCACTCTTGCATCGTTTACTTCCCCACTCTTGCATCGTTTACTTCCCCACTCTTGCATCGTTTACTTCCCCACTCTTGCATCGTTTACTTCCCCACTCTTGCATCGTTTACTTCCCCACTCTTGCATCGTTTACTTCCCCACTCTTGCATCGTTTACTTCCCCACTCTTGCATCGTTTACTTCCCCACTCTTGCATCGTTTACTTCCCCACTCTTGCATCGTTTACTTCCCCACTCTTGCATCGTTTACTTCCCCACTCTTGCATCGTTTACTTCCCCACTCTTGCATCGTTTACTTCCCCACTCTTGCATCGTTTACTTCCCCACTCTTGCATCGTTTACTTCCCCACTCTTGCATCGTTTACTTCCCCACTCTTGCATCGTTTACTTCCCCACTCTTGCATCGTTTACTTCCCCACTCTTGCATCGTTTACTTCCCCACTCTTGCATCGTTTACTTCCCCACTCTTGCATCGTTTACTTCCCCACTCTTGCATCGTTTACTTCCCCACTCTTGCATCGTTTACTTCCCCACTCTTGCATCGTTTACTTCCCCACTCTTGCATCGTTTACTTCCCCACTCTTGCATCGTTTACTTCCCCACTCTTGCATCGTTTACTTCCCCACTCTTGCATCGTTTACTTCCCCACTCTTGCATCGTTTACTTCCCCACTCTTGCATCGTTTACTTCCCCACTCTTGCATCGTTTACTTCCCCACTCTTGCATCGTTTACTTCCCCACTCTTGCATCGTTTACTTCCCCACTCTTGCATCGTTTACTTCCCCACTCTTGCATCGTTTACTTCCCCACTCTTGCATCGTTTACTTCCCCACTCTTGCATCGTTTACTTCCCCACTCTTGCATCGTTTACTTCCCCACTCTTGCATCGTTTACTTCCCCACTCTTGCATCGTTTACTTCCCCACTCTTGCATCGTTTACTTCCCCACTCTTGCATCGTTTACTTCCCCACTCTTGCATCGTTTACTTCCCCACTCTTGCATCGTTTACTTCCCCACTCTTGCATCGTTTACTTCCCCACTCTTGCATCGTTTACTTCCCCACTCTTGCATCGTTTACTTCCCCACTCTTGCATCGTTTACTTCCCCACTCTTGCATCGTTTACTTCCCCACTCTTGCATCGTTTACTTCCCCACTCTTGCATCGTTTACTTCCCCACTCTTGCATCGTTTACTTCCCCACTCTTGCATCGTTTACTTCCCCACTCTTGCATCGTTTACTTCCCCACTCTTGCATCGTTTACTTCCCCACTCTTGCATCGTTTACTTCCCCACTCTTGCATCGTTTACTTCCCCACTCTTGCATCGTTTACTTCCCCACTCTTGCATCGTTTACTTCCCCACTCTTGCATCGTTTACTTCCCCACTCTTGCATCGTTTACTTCCCCACTCTTGCATCGTTTACTTCCCCACTCTTGCATCGTTTACTTCCCCACTCTTGCATCGTTTACTTCCCCACTCTTGCATCGTTTACTTCCCCACTCTTGCATCGTTTACTTCCCCACTCTTGCATCGTTTACTTCCCCACTCTTGCATCGTTTACTTCCCCACTCTTGCATCGTTTACTTCCCCACTCTTGCATCGTTTACTTCCCCACTCTTGCATCGTTTACTTCCCCACTCTTGCATCGTTTACTTCCCCACTCTTGCATCGTTTACTTCCCCACTCTTGCATCGTTTACTTCCCCACTCTTGCATCGTTTACTTCCCCACTCTTGCATCGTTTACTTCCCCACTCTTGCATCGTTTACTTCCCCACTCTTGCATCGTTTACTTCCCCACTCTTGCATCGTTTACTTCCCCACTCTTGCATCGTTTACTTCCCCACTCTTGCATCGTTTACTTCCCCACTCTTGCATCGTTTACTTCCCCACTCTTGCATCGTTTACTTCCCCACTCTTGCATCGTTTACTTCCCCACTCTTGCATCGTTTACTTCCCCACTCTTGCATCGTTTACTTCCCCACTCTTGCATCGTTTACTTCCCCACTCTTGCATCGTTTACTTCCCCACTCTTGCATCGTTTA